ACTAGAAACTTAACAAAATGCACCATATTTACTATTATATATCTTGTGTTATATATATTTATAAAACACAAGACTAATGGAGTAGCGTTACTCGTAAATATTAATTATTTTATTTATATATTATTATGTCGAATTTTGTACAAATTCACTTAAAGATAATAATAAATAGTTGGGCAGATACATACATACAAATGTTACTACAAATGTGAAAATAAGCGTGTACTATAAGAAATCTACCGATATTCCAACTAAACGTAAACTTAAATATCCGTAATTCCCAAAACCGCTTTATAATAAAACCGTTACGCTTTCGAATAATTTTGATGCTTTTCACAAAGACAAAATTAGCTTTTGTTTTGTAATCTTCCTAAAAAATACATTTGACATTATGAAAATTCGAGCTAACGTTATTTCGGGCAAATGTATTTCGACTTCTGATAAGTAATCCCAAGCCGTAAAACGAGTACAACAATATTTTGTTAGTTATTGCTAACGTTTCATAAAAAAAATCATTTTAAAAATAAGGTTAAAATCAAGGCGACTCTATAGTTTCTTTGTTCTAAATATTTCAATCGCTTGTGGTTCGATCAATTGAAAATGACTAAGAAGTTTATATAAGCCTCTTGAAACTGGGTCTCTTTCCATATTTTGCGCATGCAATGTGTAGAAAAAGGACAGTTAGCTATTCGATTATTTTGTGTGCTTTTGTAATTTATATTTGCGATTCATTTATATATAAATTAAATGCTATATAATATATAAAACTGTGCAAAATAACACTTTTCAATGAGAATTATGATACATTTGTTTAGTGAAAATATGATACAAAATACACTTTACTGCAGTAATTGTTACAAGTTTATTATTATTGGTACTGTACGTTACGCTGTCAGTCGAACAAACGAAGACTGTTGCGCGATTGACGCTCTGTATGCGATTTTAACGCCCTACAGGTGCGGACACTTTTTAGCGCACACCCGACGTCCATTTATTGGTAAGTCAATGGAGACAGTGTTAATTATAATTAACAAGACAAAACGATTTATGACTCAGCGGTCGCGGGGAACCCACGGCCTCTGTTTTTCTGTCATAACCTTGTACTGTAATTAAATATTTATTTTAGAACATCGAGACTTAAAGTAGGTATTGTAAATAATATATTATATTTTATTTTAAAACATGGAAACTTAGATTTCTACGCCGTGTACCCAGCCAAGCAAGCGAAAAACGCAAGTGACTCGTGAACCCGGCATTATGTCGTAATGTTTTATTTATCGTTAGACAACTGTCGCGTCTAGCCTGTTCTCATATCACGACTATCTGTGGTGACTGTGTCGTCGACTTTATTTTATCGTTTAAGGACTGTCGTGTCTAGCTGTCTCTACTAGACCGAGACGACAAGTTGTCGGGTCACTGCAGGCGTCTTGTCGTTTGAAGCAGCGATTATCTGTCGTCACAGTTTTATAGTGACGTTTTATTTATCGTCGGGCGACTGTAGTTCTACTAGCTCTTCCCATTGTCACGACAGCTTGTAGTCGTAACGTCGTGTGAACAACTCCATTTAAATAAACAATCCACGACACTTTCAACTGCACGACTATCTGTCGTCACGACGACGTTTAGGTTTCTATTCCACTGCGCTCTCCCAATGCAAAGTGGTTTTAATTACCAGTAGAGATCCTAGTGAAAGAGTTCGTCCAAGGAAGTACTGCCACCTTACCTATTTCTGCCGGCAAGCAGTAATGTGAGCATTACTGCGTTGCGGTTTTGAAAGGTAAAGGTGAAATTACGGGTCACGTACAAGATTTAGACGCTGAGTTTGCGCCCTACTTTACGTGAATCGACTGATTCACTTTTTATTATAATTTAGTTGATTTAATAACTCTGTCGCAATCGGTCACATAAGCATTCATATAATAACTTGTATTTAAACAAAAATAAACTTTACGATTGTACGTCAACTCTACAACTTAACTAACTATAAACTACAACTAACTTAACTACCTACAATCAAGACGTCAAAGCCCATACATGGGGCTTGTCAACTTATGTCTCAAATCTTTGCAATTTAAAGTGGCACTGCAACTGTTCGTTCCGTCACTTGAAATATCACCAAGCAAGCGTTTTAGCTTACTTGTACAGTAGTGCGATTCGCGTAAGTTCAAGCTATCAAAATATCGTTGAAGTTACGTAGTCGTTCAATCGAAGTCCTATCCAAAATGGGCATTCACGTATCACTTGAACGAACGTTGATATAAACAGAATCGAAACCTAATGACTAATGAACGACATCTTGGATTGTGAAACTTGACATTTAGTCGTCGAAAGTCTATTGAAAGAACTCAAAATATTAGCAGAATACGTATGACTTGTCGTTCAGAGTCGATGTAAGTTCGATTCATATACCAGAATACGCTTTAACGATATTTGATCGAACGACTTTAAAATTGGACTCGTTGACGTTCACTGTCACATGTGAATACGAAAAAGCAATTCAACGACTAAATAGCTACGATATCGTAACGGTTTGATTACGTGAATCACCCTCCTGGTGTTGAAGTTTACCTATATTTATTTACTAAGGAGTTAAATAAAGAAGACACTCTATTTGCAAATGCATTTTGCCTACAATTTGTCCAAACTATAGGAACGTGAAAGGTGATAGGATTTGTCAGTGCAACCTTGCTTGTGCGTAGTCCTATTTCGATGCCTTACTTTCTGAAACTCGTATTTTATAAAGAGTGATTATGTGATATATTATTATTATGGCAAAACTCTCTATTCATTTTAAATTTCTTATTCTCATTTCTGATCAGTCTTAATTTTTAAGAAAAATGAATATTTTTCATTCTTCCTGTATTCTCCCATTATCTTTCGTATAATTTTATTTCTTTCTCCATCCTCCATGATAATTTTCCACGCTGACACCGGTCAAAAGTTTGTTACTGAACGAAAACGACGCCTAACTTTGTTTTACTCATGTTTTACTAAACGATTTTATTTTTTATTTCCCGCTAAATAAAACTTCCTACAATGTTTCTAAAAGAAAGAAAATAACATGAGCTCTCAAATTATATTTTTGTAATGTCATTAAAATATATGTATATATAACCGTCATTGTGAATAAAAACCGCCGAAGTATTTTAATAACCGGCAATCTATCTCACCACCGCTCCACATGTCTTTCAACCCTGACATTGGCAAAATCGTCGCGCAAAACGACGGAGCCATAGACACAAAAGTTGAAGTTGAAGTTGATCAAGTGGCCACTCAGTTCTTTGCTATTTAAAGCTCTGAGTGGCACTGCAACTGTTATGGACAGACGTGTAGCTTACCATCAGGCGCACGACTCGTTCGTCCCGTCACTTGATATTATAAAAAAAAACTTCTTATGTTAAAAGTTCCACGAGAAATAAGATCACCGTTAAGAAACATACCTTGTTTAGCATCATCTTTTAAGTTTTGCACTCTCTTAGGTGTCTCCTGCGAATCGCCGCCCAACAATCCCTGTCGAGCCATAGCTATATACCGCGATGCTGGTGACATCTCGTGATCGCCATCTACAAGGCATTGTTAATAAAAAAGACATTCCTTTGTGAAGTTTAGTAAGTAAAATGATTCAAATAGTATTTTATGCTATCGTTGCATAATGAAGGTTCTTAAAGCCAAGATTTGAAAGGTAAAGGTGCTGGTGAAATTACAGGCACATGGGACTTGTCAACTTATGTCTCAAGGTGACGGGCGCAGTGGCAATTCCCCTCAAATCTTTGCAATTTAAAGCACTGAGTGGCACTGTCACTGTTATGGACAGGCGTGTAGCTTACCATCAGGCGCACGACTTGTTCGTCCCGTCACTTGATGTTATAAAAAAAATCCGCGGAACTAATTATATTTTAATAATTAGTTCCGTTGAAATGGCGACAAGAGATTATTTGCTATTAAGTATTCACTACAAATTATTGTCTCAAAAAACTACATTGTGGTGTCTCTACATGTAGTTACGTATATGAATACTTTAGCCGTTTAAAAAATAAACAAGAAACAACCAATATTTTGGACTGTTTAAAAAATAAACAGTAAAAATAGAAATTTTATACGCATTAATGATAAAATAAGTATGTCCATACTAAGAAAGCGCTCACATTTTAGGTATATTAACTGCCTCAATTCCGATCACTACTTATAAGTGAAATAGGATTATAATTTTTGGAATTAATGGTGCCACCTGCAACGTTCACCAGTTTCGGAGTATGTTCCCTGCTGGGCACGGAGCCCCTCCGCGGCACGTCGCTAGTAACCGGGGGCGGGGGCCGCATCGCGTTCTCGTCTATGTTCTCCTTCTCCGGCTCTGGTGGGACGGGCGGCGCGTCTTCGCAGGCCGCCGGCTCTGGCGACGGGGGCGCTTAAAAATCATACAGAATTTTTCCATTAATTATTTTATCCCCAAATGACCAACATCAGGAGCCTGTGTATTTGCTCTCTGTTGATATTGCGGTGCCATCACATTACCAGAATTAATGCCCACGAACTAGGTTTAAAAGCCCATGCTAACATTACGGACCCATGAACTGATTTCCAAATGACATTACAAGTCCACGAACGTACTCCCAACAAGCATTAGAAACCCTTACTAATATTACGAACCCCTAAACTAATTGCCAAATAACATTATAAGCCATTCTAAGCTCACGAATGCACTTATAACAAACATTAGAAAACCATACCGACATTACGAACTCATTACCTGTTTGCCAAATGACATTATACCCAACTAACATTATAAACCCAAGCTCTTATTTACAAATAACACAGCATGTTGTAGTTTTATGTTGTGGTTAAATAATATCCTCAGTTAAGACGTCATATGTATTAGAAAAAGTAAATTACAGGCAAGATCGGCTTTAGGAGCAGCGATTATCATGGATAATAATGTGCATTGTCATAGACAAGTGGTTACAGTGATTACACCTATGCACGAGTGTCACGGTGCTACCAATGCACGGTTAACAATGACCATAACCCAGGTATTCATCCTCAATTCACGTAGTGTAGTACGTACCTTTAGTCTCTCCAACAAGAAAGTTCTTCTCGCTAACTCGTCTTCCCTCTTCGGCGCAAGCTAACAACCAAGCAGCAGTCACTGCGGGTAGACCCCATTTCAACGCGCCTATGTACTTGTCCCCAACGGGCGATGGACATATGAGATGCGTTGATGCCAAAGCATTGGCTGTGTTACGTCGGCAGAAGCGAAGCTGGGTACTATAAAAACAACCAAAGGAGAAATTTTTAACGTTTTTTTTTTCAAACAAAATAAAACAGTGTGTATCCCTGACAAGTGTGTATATCCCTAATACTGCATAAAGTCCTACGACGACGACTGTGACATGGCGAGAAAAAGCCGCCATTTTAAAAGCTTTCCCCTAGCATCGGGCAGCGGCGGTGCTAGTACTGGTAGAAGGCGGAAGATGTATGTTCTGAAAAGGCTTCTATCTAGATATCAGCGGGCGACCTCCCGGCCGATGAACCGCGGTGCAGAAGGCAAGCGGGAAACCACTGCACAATATCTCCCGAAAAAGTAGCAAAAATGGTAGAAAAAAGTAAAAGTAGTACCAAATAAAAAGAAAGGTTAATGTGAGCAGTTACAGGGAGGTCAAGGAGTTGGCTATGAACCGTGAGGAGTGGAGGAGGCTACACCGACAAGAGCATGGCTCTTAAATAAAATGAATGAATGAATGTATCCCTGACAAGATGCTTGTCCTTGAGCGGCCGACTCTGATCGAACAACATACTAAGCGCCTCGCTCTGGCGAAAACTAGTTGCGTGCCCGATTTTTTGCTTTGTATCGATTTTTTTGAATCGTAATGGATCATATGCCTCTGAATCGATCCACGGTTTGGATCGTATGCCCTTGAATCGTTTTCATAAAAATCGTTTCAAAATTTGTAATAAATAAAACACCATTATTAACCAAGTTAAAAAAAGAAGGAGGTTCTCAATCGACTGTTTTTTTTTTATGAATGTTACGCAATTACTTACGGCACTTATTCACTTACGGCATTTGTGAACCGATTTTGATGATTATTTTTTGTTTGAAAGAGGGTACCTCAGTATTGGTCCCATTTGAATTTGAAGAAAATATTCCACCCCTAAGGGTGGCAAACTAGGGGATGAATCCGGTTTCGCGAGCTTTCCGGTAAACTTGTCACATGGATAAATAAACAGAGGGATGTAATTTTTAGGTCGGTATTTTTTTAAATAAAAAAATTATAGTTATTAATAATACGCTTTTTTTTTCTTTTCACAGATGCCAATCCTTTACATCTAACTAAAATTTTCAATAATAATGTCAAATAACTTAATGTCCCAAGCCTTGTCCTTTTCTTTATTTTCCATTTCTATACTTGATGAATCATTAATAAGATGAGATTTTTCTATAAATTATGAATACGAACACGTTCTAGACCATTCGATTCGCCACAATTTTAGATCGATTCGCTTAAAAATAACATTGAAACGAATCGATCCAAAAATGCAATTGAATCGATCTTCATAAAAATCGAATCGTAATGTGCACCCCTAGCTAGCTCAATGCGAAACTTGAACGTCACGCCGAACGTGCGGCCTAAGAATCATTTCATAACCATATATTTAAATACGTATCATATACACTATAGCCAGATAACCTAATAATAATAATAACACACACTAATATAATATGTTTTTTTATAACAATAATAATGCCGCCTCTCTCAATTCAAAATTCAAAATTTTTCTTTTAGGCCTTGGCAGAGGCGAGAGTGTAAAATAAATATAATGATAAACAAAGTTACACTAAACGTTTTTTCACATGATAAGCACAAAAATCTACCCCCTATATACACAATTGGTAAATATGTAGTCTACCTTTCTTGAAGATGGAGTAAAATTACTTTTGTTGTAATGAATTGCGAGCAGCTAGTGATTGCAGTCGATAAATATTCTATCGACTATCGACTGAATATTGGTCACGATTATGGAATAAACAGTCGAACTTGTTTCATTTGAATCATTCTCGATTTCCCATTATTCATCCAATGACTGAGCACAACTTCATTTGAATTGTCAATTTTTGTAAGTCCATATATACATACACTGTATTTAGAACTATGTGTATGAAAAACACATAGAGGAGACATATTTTAAAGTTTTTTCATTTTAATTCCAATATAAATCATCATTCCAATAATCAAATCCGGATGTTCTTGTTAAAATGTATATGAATAAAAAATTGATCTCGATACTAGTAGGTCAACTGTCAAAGTAAGAATAAAGAAGGCAATAACGCATTTAGTAATCATTAGTGTGTCGTAACATTACCAATTCAGACATTTTTGGCAAAATTTTATCTTTCACAATCTATCGATAAAACTATCGACAACAACCTCATAACTATTAAAAATTTTATGAAAACTGGGCAACCTACAAATGTCATTTTACTCCGTCTTCAAAATAGACAGACTATAGTATACTCACGTAGCACCCAATAGCTTGGCGAGTTCATCTAAGAAGGCCCTCTCGACGCCACTGTAGGTGCTAAGGCTGGCCACGACTCCGTGCAGAGGCCCCGGACCTTGGCCCCATTGAGACAATTTCACGGGTCTGTGGTAGTAGTCAATAGGCAGTAACTCTTGTTGAGATAGGCAATCTTTCTGTAAGAGAGATACGTCTTTGACAATTCTAGTTACTAAAGTGAGTGGCGAAAATAATAATAAAGTTACTATTCAAATCAGGATATTCATCACGAAATGTACACCAAAAAATGTAATAATCTCAGTACAGAGTACTAAAAAATCCGACCTCAAAAGTACGTGGAATTACATCTATGTATTTGCCAAGTTTTATTGAAATATCCCCTAGTTCGCCACTATACAGGACTTGACAAAAAAGATAATAAAAATCGGTTCTCACTACTCAAAGTATATTGAGAGAGAAAAACGCCTTGAATTGGAGAATAACAAAACCAACCATTAAAATAATTGCTTCTTAAGTAAAATTTAGGCGCGATTTAATAAAAATTAATGTTCATGCATGATCAGCCACCCTTAGAGGTGGATGATTTCCTTCAAAACGAAATGGGACCACTATGGAGGTACCCTCTTTCCAACAAAAAAAAAGAATCATCAAAATCGGTTCACAAATACCGGAGTTATCGCGTAACATACATACAAAAAAAACGTACAGTCGAATTGAGAATCTCCTCTTTTTTTTGAAGTCGGTTAAAAATACTATAAGTATTAGATACCATGCAATTTAAGTATAATTCTAGTGAAAATAAAGTATAGTTCATTTCACATAGCATGGGCACGGTGACGTTTGAGATTTGAAGTTTCGAAGTTTGAAATTGAATGAAAAAAATCGATTTAAATATCTTATCGAGACAATTTGCAACTAAGAGAAAATCGATTTAAAGACAATGATTGAAGAACAAATAATAAACGAAATAAAAAGGATTCAATTATTATGTTATTAATTAGGTTACTAAAAAAACTACACAACAAACAAAAAGTCAACAACAAAGCATAAAATCAACCTTACCTATTTCTGCCGACAAGCAGTAAAGCGAGCATTACTGCGTTCCTGATTTGAAGGGTAATGGAGCTGGTGAAATTACAGGCACATGAGACTTTTCAACTTATGTATTCGGGCGCAATGGCAGTGCCATTTGGGTGCATACTGCACATATAACAATACGTGCACGATGCGACGTGTATTGATGCGAGATATACAACTGCCGAATCGATTTATCGATTCTATGATGTAAATCTCTATGGATAAATATTCCGTTTTATGCATCCAGTAGTTGAGGAATTTATTTTTATTGTTATCATTTCATTTTCTATCTACTTAATATATTACAATTTGACTTAAAATTACAATTGCAACAAAAATTTTTTGTTTTTTGTATATTATAACAAATTTACTATTTCTTTTCGTAGCCTGGTTAGTAGATTTGTTAAAAATAATATGCAAGCAATGTAAAAATTTTAAATGTCAGTACAGTAATGTCAGTCAATACCCAGCCTATGTGAAATAGCCTATAAGTATTTAGTGCTCTAAAATATTTGGAAATTGAATAGAAATCAATCAAACAACGTACGTAATCAATAGTTAATGTAAATTTTCAGTAAGTTGTTTATTCAATCTAAAGTGCACCTCGCATTTACTAACGAAGTAAATTTTTTATGAAATGTTTAGATATTTATACGCTTAAAATGTTTACTAGATGAAGTTTTATTTGCTGAACTGTGGGTTTAGCTGACATGATATATGGATTTTTACAAGGTTAAATATATTAAAGTACAATGACATCAATTTATGTGATGTAGTAAAAACAGATCGAATGTAATCATCACGTTATAAAAAGTCGCAAGCGACACTGCATTGACACTAGCGACTGCGCACAGAGCAGATAAGTAGGTTGCTGTGACAGCCGCCACCCTGACTAGTGTTGGGTCAAAGAAAAATTTTCATTTTGTAAAAAAATATTTTTCAGAAATATAAATACTATTCCGGATATTTTTCCTTTATTTTTAAACATTTGACGTTGACACCTATCAAAAATTCAAGTTACTGAACGAAAACGAAGGAGTCAATAAAATGGATCTTTTTCGCCGTTGTGATATTATTTTAAATCTCGTTTTTCTTTAGGCGGCTTTTAGCCAATTATCAAGTGTATTTAATATTATTTATTCACGCTAAACAAGTAAAACTTCAAAAGATATTTCCAAACGTAGAACATAATATGAGCCTTCGAAATGATATTTTTCCAATTAATCAAATTTTTTGGGATTTTTTCATTTTTGTGGAAAAGTTCACTGTTAGAAATTTTTCGGAAAATTATCCAACAGTAACCGTGACTCACCACCCAAAAAACAGTGACGGGCTCCGCCGTCCTGGTGAGCAGGTCTCCCGGGTCGAAGTCCAGGGGCAGCAGCACGTGCGACCCCCCCGCGCCAGCCGCCGCCAGCGCGCCTCCCGCCGCGGCCACCTCGGCGCCGATCTCGCAGATGGCCTCCTCGTCCAGCCCTTGTACTTCCATTTTTATGCCTGTACGTCAGATTAAAAAACTTTTCCAAACTGTTTCTCAATAATTCTATAATGGTGTACGGTTATGTACTATATGGAACCTTGATTTCTGCAATGACACGTTCTAGATCTAGTTTTATTTTGCTGCAGCAACATGTTCACAATTAACACATTATTAACTTACAATAGCATTGATTTACAAATAAATGGACGACGGGTCTAATACAAAAACCACGAAAAAAATGTCCCAAGTCAACCTATTCGAAATTTAAATTGTTATGTCATCGCAGTATCGCGCTGTCCGTAGAACAAATGAAGACTAAAGCGGAGTGTCGCGCTCTGTATACGATTTTAGCGCCTTACAAGTGCGGACACTTTTTAGCGCGGACCCGACGTACATATAATTGTAAGTCAATGTACAATAGCCATAAAACAATGTTAACTGCCTCCGTGGCCGAACAGTTACCATGCCGGACTGCCACGCAGAGGTCCCAGGTTCGATTCGGGCCGGGAGAAATGGTTATGGCCTACATTTATTTATCTCGTTAGTTTGAGTGTAATTAGTGGTTGTCTACGTCCTTGGCACCCACGACACAGGGTTTCCCTAGTGCGAGGCTATGTTGAGTGTGTGCGTTATTATTAAATATTACTTTGGCATTTTAACAAACGTTCTTTAATTCCATTAACTACTCGGAAAACACCCTCGTGTCGGTTACCGCGTTTCAATCACGAGGTAACATCCTGTAGGACAGACTCGCAAATCTGCCCTTACAATGGTGTAGAATGCGTAGGTTAATAGGGCGAGAAATACTCGGAAACGGTGTATTAGTTTTATTTATTTTGTCGTTTGCCAAAAATTTTACTTTTCGTCCTTCGTCTGTTATTAAAGGTGACCAACGTACCTCTAAATATCTGCTCGATTTCTTCTGTGGGCTCATCGGTGACGTCAGTTTGGTCCTGCCGGGTTGCGTTGGGCGCTGGCTCAGGCGTTTTCTCCCTTTCCGGCTCGGGGGGTAAGTGTTCTAGAACAAAAAATTGTCTAATTTTACTGATCTTCCAGGAGCAATCCATTAAATATGTCTCCTCCAAAATATGGAATGACCTGCCTCCTCCTGTTAGAGAGGCAGTGTCTCATAATTGTCCACATTCAGATTTTATTTATTTAACGACTAAAAAGTCGTTGAAAGACCAAGTACAAAGACACGACGCAAGCACATAGAAAAATTCGTGAGTTCCGTTGGTTCGTTCCGTGGCTTAGTTCGTATAGCGTCTGGCACGGTATGCAAGAAGACATCGGTTCGAATCCGACCGGATCGAAGGAATTTTTTCTGAGTGTTCGATCTTTGTATTAATAATTATAACAAACTAGTGGAGTAATTTCACAAAAAATAATTGAACTTTATTACAAAATTTATTAAAATTAAAATTCATTACATTTAAAGTACTAACAAAACAACACATTCCAGTATAACATAAACTTAACTAAGTTTCTCCGTACACCGCTCATTCGTCGTACAAATAAATTTCTATGTGTAGTGTGTGCGTTCGTACTGCTGCGTGTTAACATTCCTCTTAGTTTGCGTGAAAGTCGTTAATAAAGGGTGTCACTAAACTTTGATCCTTGTATGTACATCCCACCGCTGAACACGAGTCTATTCTAATAAATGGTCGCTTTAACAATATATTTAAAGTTAGTACTTATATATGTTTTATTTAAAATTAGAAGGTTATAATTATTATATATTTCAATCGCGTATTAATTTTTTATTTTTTCTAAAAAGTAATTTTTTTTTCAGTTCGATGTTTTTACAATTTAACGATATCTTTATTTCTTTAGGAATTCCGTTTATTAGATAAGGTATAATATATTTTTATTTTTATTTTTACCATAAAGATTTATACCAAAGAGAAGTATTTAGGTTAAGTTAGTAGTAAGTAGTAATTCCAGGCAATTACACCAATTTTCTTTTCTCAAATTAGGGGATATCCTGTACTATGAGTACCAGAGCAACGATATCTCTGAGGGCAATACCCAGAATACCCGAACCAGAACCAACTTAGAAATGTTCGTTTCATAAATTGGCTCAAATCGGGAGTCGAACCGGGAACCTCCTCACCAAGCTCCCATAGCACTAACCGCCGCGTCACCGAAGAGCGTAAGCACACCTCGTAATCTAAGCTCAACCACGCGCCGCAGGCCAAGCCCGACCCACGGTGGGGTCTAGAGCCCGTATGTACATTTTTCCAACCGCTTTAATTTCGTTTGTAAAAAATTTGTCGCTGCCGCTCTACCCAAGCAAAATGAACCTTATTAGTAAGGAAAAAAAATTAATTCAATCTGAGGTAGTACCAATTCTTAAGTAGATGTGTGTCAATCGTGCTTGATCGAATCAAAATGATTCAAACAGTACCTGAGACCCGATAACCCGGTTACTTGCTTCTAAATAACCCGATAATTTTAGAGTTTCATGGGTCATGCGCGCAATATTCGACTTTATCACTATAATTTTAGAGATTATTCAACAATTCACAATATTATTGTCACGTTCATTCTCACGTGATGTCCCCATTCACGACACGGTTTACCTTCTCACTCTTCGTTGGGGTCGAACATTTGTTTGATAGAGCCTTCGATAGAACCTTCGTTCGATCGAAGCACAAAGTCAAGCAATCGATCAACGAGTTAACGGGTTAACGGATCAATGTGTCTATCAATCATTCATCCTAATTGCTCCGTGACGCAGTGTCCATTAAATGGTAATTTTGTAAGTTCAATCTGTTCTTCGGTATGTTGTGTTTATTTAAGTGTGCACTAGCTAATATTAAAATATTATTGAATAATAAATTAGCAATTTTGAATGCTCATAAGTTCTTTGTTATGTATTTTTGTTTTGTAGCACCATTACTTTTCTTAGAAGGAAATTGTGTACCCTGTGTGGTTTATCAATGATGCATTTAATTACATACACATTACCTATCATCAGGAGAGAATAAAAGCTAATTGTATAAATTGACACTTTTAAACGCCATATGGAAGTATCATGAGAGACGGGTAATCCGCTAAAATATCGAACATATGATCGAATCATTTGACCTGATCACACTACGCATGGGTCATGATCGAACCGGGTTATCAAAAATGAGTTAATATAAAAAAGTATCTCTTAAGTTAATATAAAAAAAATATGTGTTTTCAATTATTTTTTGTAGTGGTGGGTATTGAAATTTTTTATATTGCCGAAATGAGCGATGAGCCAAAACACTTTGAGAACCTATGTTTTAACTGAAACTACTCACGACTAAGATAATGGTTGACCAGTTCGTCCTGTTGAGGTTCGGGCGGCTCAGGCAGTTCGGGTGTGGGTGGAGGGAGGTCGAGCTCGCGGCGCAGCAGTTGTAAGTTGCGCTTGCTCATCGGCGACGCAGGTTCGACTCTCGGCGGGCGACTGGACTTCGGAGTTGGGGGTTTCGTGTTTATTAGGAACTGTAATTAAAGCCTCTGTCGCTGAATATCATATTCACAAAATATCATTTTCGCAAGATACCACATTCTCAAAATATATTACATTCTTTATACACCATATTCGCTAAACACCACATTCGCAAACTATCATATGTGCGATTTCCAACATTCTGTACTGTTAGGAACAAAATACGAATTTACAATTTATAAATTATACATTATCTATCATTATTAAAAAAAGAGACAAAAATACAAAATATAAAATAAAAAAACAATAATTTGCATTTCACTGGTAAAAAAAGAAATAGAAAAATAATAAAAAATAAAAATTATCAGTATAGTCAAAGATTGCGTAAATAAAAAACAATAAGTATTCAAGTGTGTCTGAACCGGTTAAGTGTACTACAGAATCCGGATCACTGAAGAATTTTAATTTTAGTAATAAACTGGTAGTTTATTTTAAAATGTGTATTATGTTAAATACTATAGTCTGTCTTTTTTGAAGACGGAGTAAACTTACAGTTTATTTCGAAAAAGTGTTGCGAGTAGCTAGTGATTGCAGTTGATAAATATTCCATCGACTATCGATTAAATATTGGTCATGGTTATGGAATAAATAGCCGAACTTGTTTCATTTCAATCATCCTCGACTCCATTCATCAAATTACTGAGCACAAGTTCATTTGAATTGTCAATTTTTGTAAGTACATACATAATATGTCGCCGTTTCAAGGCGACCACTAACAACCATCTTATGGCGGAACATATTGGCAGAGTATAAACAATATTGAAAATTACATAACTCACCTGAACAGTCTATGTCAAAGACAAACAGCGTTTAGCACCATAGCTACTCAATATGAACATGAAGCGAAGGAGATAAAACATTTTAATGATATTCTACGTTCTGAACATGGAAGGCGTGTAAAAAGAGGATTAGTTAACGGAGTAAGCTATGTGGCGAACTCACTATTCGCTGTGCTTGACGAGCGATTCGCTGAAAAGTACAGAAGGGGTATTAAATATGTACATACAAAACAACGAAAATCATCTCCTAAGCGTATACAAAGAACACACATCAATCATAGAAGGAGAATACAACCTTTTGAAACGAAACGAAGACGTCATTAACAAACAATTGTACATCATCAACAAACATCTAAAAGAGAGTGAAAATCACATAATAACTAATCAGAACCATGCTTCTTATATCACTGCAACTACGTTGGCTATAAATGTAGTTGGCTATAAATATACAGAGAGTACAACAACAGTTACTGGACCATTTCTCACTTCTGTTACTAATAACAGAAGTGAGAAATGGTCATATGAATACCTATCTATTGAGTCCAGGAGTTCCAGGAACAACTGAACATTATCTCGGGACATCTTTCACGCGATCTTTCTCTGCCATGTGTATAGTCTCCTGATTGCATTCGTAACATGTATAAAATATCCAGAGTAAATGTTAGAGTTACAGACAATTTTCTTATGATGGAAGTGAATCTACCGATCATCTCGAATGAACCGTATGAACTAAGCCGAATTATTCCTATACAACATATAGAGGGAGATATAACAAGGACAGTCATTCCTATATCAGAATACATGGCAGTCAACATAAGAAAAGATTTATTAATAACATTAGACAGTAACGACATGAGGTCATGTGTACATTTAAATAAGAAACAATTAATTTGCTCATTAAACTTGCCCACTTACTAAACAAGCTCAAATCATAAACAATAGAAACATATCAAATTGCCGCATAGCGTTATCACAGTGCCGGCACGAGTGGATCCAATTGCACTGCCGTGGCGCGTGGCTATTCTCATGTTGCGAAGAATGCAGCGCGCGCATTTTTTGCCCAGCTGGAACACTGACCCAGATATTACATCACACAGGTGTCATAACATCACCGGAACGATGCATATTGAAAGAAAACAACGTAATTATCCATTCACAGAACAACTTTCAAAGTGAAATGAAAAGAAATGGATCTGACCAAATCGTTGATGGATTGAATATAACACTTTTTCCTGAAAATCATGAGGAACCTTTGAAGATATTAAAAAGGAAAATTCACGTCATCAAGGCCCAGCCAGAAACTGTAAACACCGAAATCGACAGTCACAATACCCAACATTATATTACCAACATTATTTTAACAACAATTATCGTGACTACTAGTATCTGTTTAGGGCGTAAGAGCAATAAAGAAACGCCGCCAGATACGTGAGGTGCAGGTCCTCGAAGGCTAAGCCGTCACCTGTCATTACCACGTGTCAGGACAGATATTGAAGAGGACATTAATAGATCTTCGGAGTCGGCACCAGCTGTTATTTTCCATAAACATGTGCAAGACAAGGCGACGTCTCCTACGTGAACCTAGCACTTCAGAAAAATGCTTTTTTGTGTTGCTTTACATTAACAAATTTTACTTTATTTATTTGTCATTTTTGACATTTTATTATATTTAACTGCCTCTGTGGCCGAACGGTTATCATGCCGGACTGCTACGCAGAGGTCCCAGGTTCGATTCCCGGGCTGGGAGAAATATTTGTATGACCTACATTTGTTTCTCTCGTGAGTTTGGGTGTAAATTGTGGTTGTCTATATGTGTGTCCATGGCACCCGCGACACAGGGTTTCCCTAGTGCGGGGCAATGTTGAGTGTGTGTGTTATTACTATACCTTTTTATACCTTAAGTCGGGAGACTGTACGAGAAGTAAATTAGATATGTCGTCACTTAACCTAAAAATGTTGCTGATCGCGCGCATTGTCGCGTTTACATTTTATGTACAATTACTTATATTTTTAGTACAATAAAGACCTTCGGACAGTACGGTGCCTTACATATTTTGCATCAACCCAGCTCAACCGAACGGTGTACTCAGGGAAACTTACAATTCCCATCAACATACATTCTTACGGCCATTCTACATTGCATACGTTGGGCACGAGTCCCAACATACTATATACACTGTATTTAGACCTATGTTTGAAAAATACAAAGAAGGGACATATTTTCATTTTAATTCAATATAGATAATCAAATCCGGCTGTTCTTGTTAAAAAGTATATGAATAAAAATTGATCTCGATACTAGTAGGCCAACTGTCAAAATAAGAATAAAGAAGGCAATAACGCAATTAGTAACAATTAGATCGTCGTGACATTTACAATTCATTCATTTTGGGCAACATTTTATCTTCTTTCACAGTCTATTGATAAAACTATCGACGACAACTACATAACTATTTAGAATTCCATGCATACTGGCAAACCTACAAATGTCATTTAACTCCGTCTTCAAGAAAAACAGACTATAGATATATATACTATGGTTGCACTCACCTCGGCCTCGTCCAGCGCCCGTCCGGCGTCCACGCTACGGACCAACCAAAGGGGAGTGAGGATGGGTACAGCGGGCAGCGCAAGCAGCGCGCTGGCCGCGGCCTGTCTGGTGCCGGCCACGATGTGCGTGACGCGCTCGTGCGGGCGGTCGTACCGCACGCCGCCCGCGCGGGACACGCAGGCCGAAGCGCGCTCGCGGCACACGCCGTCGAGGCCCGTCACCCATATCTGCGCCGGGGCCAACAAAATCGTGCAAATTTATCTATTTACGACAGAAATTCCGGACACGATACGTATCGCGGCTGGAAACGTAAAATTACGAGTTATGATTTTTTTTTTCTTCAAAAAATTACTTTAAATCACTCTCCTGAAATATTTCCAAATGCACGTCAGACGTTTTACCTTATATTACGCAATGTGGATGAATGAAAGGAATTAAGTTTTATTATTTACTAACACTGGAATAACACACCTAAATCTATTGTATATATATATATATATATATATATATATATATATATATAGATATCCATGATATCAAACAAATGTTATTTTTTAACATTATCAAAAACATAACAAAGAATTAAGAAACTCAAGAAATAACTATCACATAACAGTGTGTACAAATAGTAAAATGGCAACAGTACGAGCAATCTTAGAACGAGTTAACCTCCAATATGTTCAGAAAAACGTGAATCAAAATGTAACCTACATTGAATGAGCTCAGTTGAGGTTAGAGAAATTATCATAAACATTTCAACCCAAAAAAACAGGGTGCCCACGAAGAACCGATAAAAATATCGAATCTTAACGAACATATCGAACCGAATTGTTGTTATGATCGGTTAAAGTAGTGTACAGAATAGCATTTGCCGACAAAATCGATACCGTCGGTAAAACCGCATAACGAAAATCGAATAACGAGTCTCAACGATTACAGAATACCGCTCCTGTTACAACTACGCCGCGCTAACGAACGGTCGCTTTGACGCAATATCACTGAAGCAGTCGTCCAACGGCAATACGGAAAATCAACTTAGTACATGATCAGTCTATGAAAGACCACAGTGGGAAGCGCGACGACCCTTAAAAATCAGGGCAGACGCCTACCTACTTGATCGTCGGCGCGCGTGATATTTGATACCTGTCACTTTTCTAATCATATACCTTTTTTATTGTTTACATTACGGGCGGCGATACGACACGTATAATATAAACACTTGAAACTCAAGAACCTATTCAGCTACCGTAAAAAGAATAACATGTGCGATAAGAGCACTTAAGTAGCATTTGTTTAGAGTACAGTTATAATTGTAATACGACTATTTGTTAATTTCTGAGTACACTGAACACTTATGAGAAATTTTCATAGTATTTTTCGCTTTAACTTCTAACCACTTTATTAAGAAACAAAACATATATAACGATGACAAGCATTTAAATACCTATCGATTAACACTAGAATGATATGAATATAATGTGTAACTATTTTTAAAATAAATCAATAACAGTCGCGGGTAGCGACGAAAATCGCGAAAATTTGCGAAAATGGCGTAAAAAAACTATAAGTCGCGAGGCAGAAAATTGACGAATCCTATCACAACTCACAATGTAACGACCTAAAAAAAGTTTTAATACAACTTATATTGAATAAAGTTATGTGTTTGAGTGATATTTTACTCCAAAAAGTATTTTAATAATGAATAAGTTTTTTTCCAACTTTGATGACCTTTTTTTCCAATAAGGTTGTGATTCCAATAAGATATCAAATGTTAAACTTTTAACACCATCTGAAAAAGCACATCTTGACGATCATTTTGATAGATAATAATCAACTTCAACTTCAACTTTTGTGTCTATGGCTCCGTCGTTTTACGCGACGATACAGAAATTCATTAATAATGTCATCTATCACCATTGACTTACAATTATATGGACGTCGGGTCCGCGCTAAAAAGTGTCCGCACTTGTAAGGCGCTAAAATCGTATACAGAGCGCGACACTCCGCTTTAGTCTTCATTTGTTCTACGGACAGCGCGAAACTGCGATGACATTACAATTTAAATTTCGAATAGGTTGACTTGGGACATTTTTTTCGTGGTTTTTGTATTAGACCCGTCGTCCATTTATTTGTAAGTCAATGTCTATCACAATTAAAGTCATCATCAAACATTAAACGTCAACAATCCCGCCAAAGTTTTTTTTTCACATTTTTTTCTGTTATAAGGACGCATCATGAATATTTGTTTCTTTATATTAGGATATCGAGTATTTAACAGTTAAATACTAGTAAAAATTTGGTGTTAATACATATGGTAATACCAAAGTAATTTGTAAAACAGTTCACCAATCGGGTACTGTAATTTACTGGTAACTATAGTTACCAGCGACGTTTGACCGAAAGTGAACATTTTGACAGTTACTAGTAGCTATAGCTACCAATAACTGTTCAGTGGTGACCTATGACCAACACCAACTATCGAAGAAACAACACAGGGTCCGTGCGTTCATTCTACCTGCCTACCTTATTTTGGCACTGTCAACCTCTAACAATGTTCTAGACTCATTTCTGATTCAAACGTGGACAAAACTGTCCCAGTTTGTTTGTACTTACACAGAATCCGTCAAAGATTGGTCCAGCCTTCCTGATAGTGCTCAAATCTAAATTCTCTAACGCAGTCTGGATCTCCTTGTCCACCGACATGTCATTTCTCTTAGACTCTTGTGATAGCTGCAAAAGACAAACGCATTTTTGTTATACGGCTTCTACGATGGCACACTGCAATATCCAAACAAGCTATTGAATAGAATTATCAAACAGTAACGTTAATATTGCTAACGTCACGTGGGGTGCCCGAAAGAAGCCTCCCCGCACGACGATCCTTTCCCGTATATCTGGCGCACCTTGGACAACAATTGGCAAATGCCTTATGCCGAATGGCAAATGCTTTGACCACGATAGAAGAATTACTCTTTTTATTTTTTCCTATGCGGCTAAGGTATGAAGTTACCACAAGAGAAAAGTAGATATTTTTTCTTTATTAATTCTTTAAACATTATTTTCTCGGGTTTGAGATTTTGTCACAAGCGCCCTTTCAACTAACGATACACAATGATAAAAAAATCACAATTTAAGAGGACGAAAATTAAATACACAATTTTTTTGCTTTACGACTTGAAATTTATTTAATAAATGGGGATACAGTAAAAAATACACAGATTTGGAGCTTTTCTAAAACTATACTTTTTTAAATATATTTTTACTATATCCGAACTTTGGAGTGAACAATATTTACTTGCATATTTACTTACTCCCGAGACTGACTTTAAACAAACCGATTGCATATTGTGACATACATGAGTATTTCTTGAAGACGGAGTAAAATGACATTTGTGGGGTTGCCAGATTCATTAAATTTTAAATAGTTATGTACTTGTTGTCGATAGTTTTATCGATAGATTGTGAAAGAATATAAAATTTTACCAAAAATCAATTTAGAGACTATAGTTTAAGAACAAATAATAAACACAATAAAAAGGATTCAATTATTACGTTACTAATCAGTACAGATTACTGAAGAAACCGATCTCAAAAGTTCGTGGAATTACATCTATTTGCCAAGTTTTATTGAATTCTGTTACAGGAAAGTGCGCGAAACCGGATTAATACCCTAGTTGGCCACCCTTACAGATGGAATATTTTCTTTAAATAAATGGGACCACTACCGAGGTCTTCGTTTTTTTGTTGGAAAGAGGGTTTTTTCCAACAAAAAAAGAATCATCAAAATCGGTTCATAAATCGCGTTATCGCGCAACATACATACAAAAAAACATACAGTCGAATTGAGAACCTCCTCCTTTTTTTGAAGTCGGTTAAAAACTACACAACAAATAAAACAACAATGAAACAAAAAGTCAACAATAAAAGCACTTAAATCTACAATTGAAACAACTATTACCACAACAAATACAAATTTACTATTTCTTTTTGTAACCTGATTAAGGGTACCATTGACCTTCCAATGTGAAATGGACTATAGTTTGTTTATTCCATAGCAACAAGTGTTAACTGGGGTGTTGCCACGTTTTATCGGTTTAGTACTTCCATTCCACATCTAAGTTTATTTGTAGCTTAATTGATATTATTTTTACCTTAGTCCGGCTCGAGATACTCGACATATCTGTAGCTCTAGTTTCGTCTACAAAATTGTTCGGAGGCCGTATGTTTGTGATACGGGAGAAATTTAAACCTAAAAAAGAAACAACTTTTATTATCTAGGCATTACAATTGTAATAATACATACACGTATGGCCAAAGCTTAAAGGAATCCCTTAACCAGCATTATACGTCTCCTATAATGGGTTAATATGACGTATTATCGAGTTACCCCTAAAATATCATGAAATAAAAAATATATTCTTATACACGGTGCAACAAAAAGATATAGTCATATTAAAGGACCAAGTGTAACTGATTTGGACCCTGTGTAAAATTGTAAATAAAAACGAGTTACTAAGAAGTTGATACAAATTTAATTACATTTTAAATTAGTTAATTTCTATATCGATATATATACGTCGCAGCTCTACTGCAAACCTTACACTTAAGTTAATTACGAGTAGAGCATTCGTATAAAAAAGTAATTCATAGAGCTGTCTGTACCATATATTTACATCGCAATTGCTCGTAAATGGTATAATTGCATGGTGGCTAACTTGACTACCATACCCCAAATAAAACCCTTTTTTCTTTCAATTACAGCCGTGGTTGGGAAGGAGTTCTTTTTCAATTTGTAGCACGACAAACTTTCTTATAATAGGTCAGGTTCAAGTGCAAGCAAGGATGTTTGTTAAATACAAAATTAAAACATTCGCTTAAAATGTTATCGAAACAGAAATTTTATTGCAATTCAGCCATATACTAGTTAAACACTTATTATTAAGAATTTCTTATAATTGATTTTAATTATTTTTGGTAAATTAGTTTTGCATATTAGTTTTTTACAATCCACCTTGGCTGCATGCGTGTTTGTTTTTTACAACATTTTAATTCGAGTTGTATTATCTATGGAAGAATTTAAAAAAAAACCAGCAATTTGAGAAATTCATAATTGTTGTGTTATGTAACTGTTGTGTTATAAACCATATTTATATTGTATTTATTTCCTCGCAAATGTGAAAATATTGTACGGATCACGGACAGTACAAAAATATAAAACTTGAGTTATTAAAACCCTCTTGCCTTTGACTTCGGGCTTCTAATAATTTCTTATATCATGGTAATTTCGAACCCTGATTTTTAGAACCGTGGTAACCTGAGTGCGCAACCCAATAAAAGATATGGCAGTTACAGTAGAGAAGCATATTTTCTAATACTCACTCATGTCAGGTAGTCTGTGTTCAGCCAATGGCGAAGAAGTGGAAGCCCCTGCTACCCTGTAGAGTGCCAAAGGTAATGCCACTCCCTTGGCCGCAGACTCTTTAACCCACGCCGGTGTAACACATGCTTTTCCATATTCTAATGCTGCTTTGTATTTGTCACTACCTACACCTTCCCTGTTATATACATATATGAATGTTTATTAAAAAGAAAATAAGTACTTTCTGTTAAATTAATTAATATTATTAATAAGCTCAGTTGTCTACAAACATACACTTTTTTTCGATAACCTTGCGACAGCTAATATGAATATTTTAGTAAAGTGATACAAAAAGAAAAAAAAACACGTATTTTATTTTTGTACCAAAGATCGTTGTATTAGTTTTTGGGTGATAACTAAAATGTCACACTGTATACAGATTGTGTAACTCTCAAATTTCTGCATTTTCTCCAAAAATCATACAAAACTTCATGCATTAAAAAAGTCTGTCACTAAATAGTTAATATGAACTTTGTAGTTTAAGATATGTACACTTCTATATATTTTTGTTTTATATTTAAAATAATATTTGTTTTGTTTTTGCTTTTTTCTCATTTACAATATCGTACAATTTACATTTTCTTGTTTCACAATGCTGTGTACAGTTGTCATTGGAATGTAGATTTACTGATGTTCTTCTTTTGTATCGTTTTAAAATAGTGTTTCAAACTGTTTTCTATAGTCTGTGCCATTACAATAAAAATATATTTTTTTAAACTGGCACAGGCTTGAGGGCGAACGTGGATTTCCGCAAAGTAACGCCTAAAGCTATTAATTTATTTAACTCTTTTTTTATCATATCAATTGACGAGACGAACAAGTTGTGCGTATGATGGTAAGCTACCAGCCTGTGTGACACTTGGAGCTTGAAAATTGCAAAGATCTGAGGGGCACTGCCACTGCGCCTATCAACCTGAGACTGCCTGTAATTTCACCAGCACCCTTAAGAGCGCATGCGGACTACGTCTCCGATTCGTATCAGGTCTTTTATTCTCGTTCTCCGCCCGACATCCATCCGAGACAATTACTATCAAATAAATAATACTCTAGCAATTTAAACGACGCATGATGCGAATGAGGGTTCATACATGACATTGTCATGATTTGGTCGAGTATTATATATTACAGGAATTGTTTCGGACGGAGAGTAGACCCCCAGTTCCGAATCCGAGAAATGACGGTCCGAAATGTCACAGGGATCATTCCGTACCTGAGAAGCATTACACTGTAAGTGCTATTTTTGTAATTTTACAGGGGACACGGTTTTGTGTCGAAATACAGCATGTACATTTAGAATGGCTTGAAATAAAACTAATTGAGTTTTAATAACATTTCGAGACACCCTAATTGGCATACAAACTGCTTTTCGACACAAAATCGCATCCCCCCGTAAAATTACAAAAATGGCGCTTACATTGTAATGCTTCTCAGATACGGTATTTATCTCTTGGTGTACAAGCGATATTCGTATTTTTCTCTTATTACTACACGGACTACACAGTAATGCTCACATTACTGCTTGGCGGCAGACATAGGTAAGATGGCAGCACCTCCCTGGACGAGATCTTTCACAAAGAGCTCTACTGCTACTCAAAAAAAACGACGAAGCGTACGTTGTGGATTGACATTTCTAATTTATTTAATTTTTTAATGAATAAATTTTTAAATTTGTAGCGAATTGATATATATGAAATTACTCCACTAGTTTGTTATAATTATTAATACAAAGATCAAACACTTAGAAAAAATTCCTTCGATCCGGACGTCTTCTAGCAAACTGTGCCAGACAGTATGCTAACTAAGCCACGGAATGAACCAGCGGACCTCACGAATTTTTCTATGTGCTTGTTTGTTGGATCATTTGTAGGTATTTGGTTTTTTAACGACTTTTTAGCCGTAGTGTCGTCACAGGGACCTTTACAGCTACCGGCCCTAAATTTTGCTATATTATAAAAAAAACCCTGGACAATTATATAAACTTACTTGGTCAATACCACCACATCCGTAGTCTCGCTTTGGAATGCACCAGAAAAAGTACCACCATGTTCATTAACTAATTTAGTTATCAATTGTTTATCTTTCTTCGTGATGCCTGAAGTCGTTACTTGTAAGTTTGCGAATGGTGGCAAGCGGTGTGAGTCAAAATCAGGCGACGACCCGTTTACATTCAAACTGAGTGACGCGTTCCATACTGCTTCTATCCATGACTCTGACATTACTGGTATGCCTTTTTGTATTGATTTCTGAAAAGCAAAGTCTAAATGTTAATTCACAGGTTCACTTGATCCGTGCACGATACTGCAGACCATTTCAAGGGTTATTGTCCCTATTTTCTAGTTTTAAAGGAATTCGTTCCTTGGCTGCGGTGAGAAGGTTATTCAAAAATCTCTCACTAGATGTCATTAGCGGCAACGAACGCCGAAAGCCAGTATAAAGATCTATAACAAATACACATAGGAGAATTTTGACTCGGTAACTGGACCCGTGGCTCAGATGGTTAGAGCAATGCTACGGTGCAGCATGGTCGTGGGTTCAAGTCCCGTCCGGTCGATTTTTGTATTCATAATCATAACAAGTTCATTTACAAATTTACATATTATTAGGTCAGGTACACACCATATAACTTTAACTACCTCTGTGGCGGGACGGACCATGCCGGACTGGTACTCAGACGTCTCGGGTTCTCGAACATTATGAGTTCATAATGAGGCACCTCGTAAATACTAGATCTAAGTTTCAAATAATATACTGACACAATTTATTATAATTAGATATAGATTTCTGTTGTCTACAAATAAATGATCATAATCATTATAAAAGGCGTGTGGATGTGTGCGTGCGTGCGTGCGTGCGTGCGTGCGTACGTGCGTGCGTGCGTGCATGCGTGCGTGCGTGCGTGCGTGCGTGCGTGCGTGCGTGCGTGCGTGTGTGTGTGTGTACGTCGTCTGGCACATTTTTATAATGGGGATAAACCGATAGTATACCTAAATGAATAAATAAATAATTATTATCATTATTAATACAAAGATCGAACACATAGAAAATCTTTTTCGACCCGATGGGACTTGAATCCGCGAGCATACTGCATTGTAGTATTGCTCTTATCAACTGAGCTACGGGTCAAGTTATCGACTTGTCGAAATTTTCCTACGTGTTTTTGGTAAACATCTTTGTACTTCGTACTTTGTACTTCCGGAATTCTGAGCGCTAGTGACATCTTGTGAGAGATTTTAGAACCAACCAAAAGACAGGAGAATTTCGACGGGTCATCATCAGACCTTTAATATTTACAGTGAGGCAAAATCTTATGTGCATATTTAAAATATAAAAATCGCAACATGTCACGGTATTCGCCGGAAGGGATTTAAAAGAAACTATATACTTTAAAAAGCCGCTTCCGCATTTCAACAGCAATTCACGGCAAAAAGTGAAGTTCAGGTTCAAACACATCCCAATATCTGACACTACTTATAACTGGTTATGGACTTACAACATACTTATCAGACAATACTGTGTCTGATACCAAATGTGTCGTGTCATCTGTCAAGGCAGCATTGTATATCCCTCCCATCCAGTAAACTTTCTTCTTAATGTTCTCCTGAAATAGTAATTTTAAAAACCTAATTATAATTAATGAAAGAGAGTATTTGAAAAGTAACGAAAAATTTTTAAAGTGTACGAAACAGTAGCGCGATGCATGCACAATAAACTCCCAAAACCAAATAGAATCAGTTAGTACAGTCACTAAGGGGTCCTTCATTGGTCCCGAGCCCTTTATAGCGCACAGCCTGGCAAAGCTCGCTCCGCTGAACGAGAGCACTCATGTCGCGGGAGACGTGTGCTGCAGACTAAGGGACTTGAGCATTCAAAAGCCCTGATAGCTGCCTTCAGTGCCAAACACTGTAGGCACTGTCACTTGACAGGAATGGCATCAGAATGCCGACTAGAGCTTTAACACGGAATTATGGTTTTAACAAACACATGTCAAATATTATTATATTCTTTATTGTACAAAGAAAAGACACATGAAACACACGTTACAATGGACATATACAAAGGTGAGCTTATCTCTATAAGAGATCTCTTCCAGCCAACCCTAGCCGTGGTGCAAAAATGAAGTCTGCGGGACTAATTATTGTGCAACAAAATTTAAATTTAAATGTGAATAAAATATAAATGATAATAATATACATACGACAGACATACACACATACATGAACTTTATATACATAAATACATACATAACTAGCATTTACTTTACTTTTTTAGCATTTATTAACATAACAGAATATATATTATAATAACGGATTATTTGTTTACAAATATGTTACCTATAAACTATCTAACGCGTTCGACAGGAAGTGATCTTATAATTTGTGTTTGAAATATGCCACCAATGGACTGTCACGAATGTTAGCAGGTAGTTTATTCCACATTCGAGCTGCACTTACAGTAAAAGAATTGTGAAAGAATTTGGAGTTGGATTGGGGATATAAAAGTGTTCTAGTGTCACAGGTACGTTTTGGGCGGGAATTGGGGGATAAGGGGGGAAAAACGGGAACACAGATAATGAGGAAGCTGGGAGTAATTTAAAATTTTATGAAGAAGACAAAGAACGTGCATATCTCGGCGAAGTCGGATTGGGAGCCATTTCAATTTAGTCCGAAATTCAGAGATGGTCATATTTACGTAAACCGAATATGAAACAAAAAAATATTGGGCAGAAGGAAAACAGAGAATGTGGATTCTGCCACGAGGTGGATGAAACTTCTGAGCATCTGCTCACCCAGTGCTGCCCTCTAATGGGCGTACGAAGTTCCATACTGGGTAGGCACAGGCCACACCCAGAGGACATAAAAACTGTCAAAGCCAGGGAAATCCTTCAGTTCTCTAATGCTGTTAGCCTTGGCTCTGAACTGTAATTAGTGATGATCACAATAGATCAGTCAATGGCCGCAGTGATGGCCGCATAGGCCCCGAGTGAAGACACCCTAATAATAATAATACTAAGTGATTTCTCTTAAATATATTCCAGTACATGTTTAAAAAGAAGCAGTGTGCGTACTTTTCTACTTTTCATTTGGAAAACTAGCTGAAATGAACAAACAAAACTAAAATTAAAAGTACATCTTATCAAAATGCGCGATACATATGCGCGACTATAGCGCGTTTACGGGGCCACTGAATTTGTGAACATGTGGAAAGGTTTACTCACTATGACTGCAACCCGTGTGGATCGCGTTAACGCGCGTCATCTGCGCGTCGTCGGCGCGTGTAAAATACACCATGTGCATAGGCTCTTACAACTTGTGTTTAACCATGATTACCTTTTGCAATTTAGAAAGTCCACTTGCAGTGACTACCAGGCCTCTCATGGCAACAGTGAAGACAGGCTCTGGCCCTGATGGGATTGGTGTACCCTCTGTCATACAACATGATAGGCAACGGGGGCCTACTAACCTGAAAATTAGTAATTTTTAAATTATTTACTGTAAAGTTAGAGCAATAATACTAGGCCTATTTATTTCCTACAAAACAATACCTGTAGGCTCAAGTAAGACGGTTACCAGGTAGCACCAAAGAGAAGTACCAGCGGTGCCAATTAAGTTGGGTAGAACTATGATCTAGGTACGCACAAGTTGCGCAAGTTGTTTCTTTGCTTATATAATAATATCCAATATCATAATTATTAATATATATATTAAATCTATGCTTCTTATTATTATTATAGTAGTCTATTAAATTTTATAACTAATTTGCATGCAATTTTTTTTATCACGGGCAGCCCTCTATGCAGATTGTGCATGGACGGGAAGGAAACGGCTGCGTACATCTTACTACAGTCCTCCGGCGTGGCAAATTACAGGGCAAAGTACCTTGGAGTGCCATGGTCGCTCCCTGAAATCTTCAACAAACCGAGGAGGTTGCTGAGATTCCTGGAGGAGCTTGGGTGGCACGAGTAGGAACCTGCACCCACCAAAAATACGCAAACTAGGCGCTTTGTCGTCGAGTTGCGGAAACCAGCCCGTTGCACCAAGTACCAAGTAATTACTTGCAATTTAATATATGTATATGACTGGCACTGCTTTTTGTTACTATCTTCTATTATACCAAGTTAGAAGGAAATAAACTTATTAGTATAATGTGGTTATTTTATTTGATTTCTAGCTGGTTTTAATCACATATCATCATCAAAATTCGTAAACCTCATAATCTCCATTAATGTGAACTGTTGAGAAGGCACAAAAAACAGAAAAATATAATTTATATGACAATCTATGATTATACATTAAGTATATAAATAAAAGAAGGTCTACAAATCATATTTAAATCTTTGATTGCCTGATATTATTCTTGACGAATAAACAAGGGATTTCCTCCAAAAACAGAGTTAAGAGGTTTTAAAATTTAGCCGACAATATACAGATAATTAAATTAAGAAAATGCAATATGGTATGCATCTATGTACAGGGTGTGTTGTGAGAGCCTATTTCATCTTCTTCTGTCTGCATGCCCATTACTATTATTATTATTATTGTGGTGTAGTCTGCCACACAAGCACTACCAGGAATCTTAGTTCAGAGTAACATCATTCTCTTACTGATTGGGATAGACTACAAGGTCGCATAATAGGGTAATGAGTATTGCATACATAGAAAAAATATCCTATTCCCATTTTCTGGGTATGTATGTACATAACAATACACAAAATGGAATCATGGATGGATAAACTTGTACATAAGGTATTAACCTCTTCCCATGGCATAAAAACAGCGGACAAAATGCCCTCTCCACATGATGACAGGCAACCTTGCGCCAACATCATACTTCTCTTGACTCATCAGCTTGACTTGAAATATTTTTTAGCAAAGAAAAATGATATACCTAAGTACTGTATGAACTTACAAACACTTGGTACACTTTAATTTTTCATATAATTCTCCTTCAAAATCAGTTAACACGAAAACGTCTGTTTTTGTCAGACCCTCGAACTTATCAACCCGTGTCTCGTGAATCCATTGCGCCTGGAGACCACCACCGGAATGTTGCTCACAAGCCTGAATCCAAAAAAAGGGTTATTTTTACTGCGATTGCTCCAATACAGGTGAGAAATACTATTTGGATCTATTTTTGAAACAATTTTTGCGATATAAACGAATATTTACCGTGAAAGCAAGTTGCATTTCCTCCGAGCAATCATTTTCACTACGACAATATTTTGGTATGATAAATGTAACTTTTATATCTTCCTTCATTTCGGGCACAATAGATAAATACCTAATAACTAGATATTATTATTATATGTACAAGCCGAGTAACACCCACTAAAATAACCTCGGAGCCACTGTTTACAAAAAGCCCTCCAAAACTCTGTTTCCAATATTATTTGTACTATAAAATCCATGGACAAAATAGAAACAAACAAAATTCAAAATTATTTTGTGGTCCACGGGGAAGAAGCAGTTTTGTATGAGTTATTTATTTTTTCCATTATCTAAAATGTAAAAAATTTGATATTAACTTGTTGCACCTTGTATAGACAAAAACAAACCAAACAAAAGCTCTTTTTTGTAAAATTCTTTCAAACTCGTGGCTTAAAAGCTAACAGTCAAAAGCCAAGAAAAAAAGAAAATAACTTAATTATGCAGGAGTCATTCGTTTCACAGTCATTATCTGATGCGCTTATTTCGTAATCGTTCTGTAAATATAGTAGGAAAGTGAAGTTTTTATTGTGAGGAATCTGGGGAATCTGTAGTTGTTTCTCATTTCAATCAATAGCTAAAAAAGGCGCGAAAAAATCTCAAGTCTCAAAAAGACTCAAAAAGACGTCAAGTCAATTGTTTTTTTTTTATGGCGGGTTTTAACTGTTACATTTTTTTACACGAATAAATATTTAGTTTATTTATATTACGTTGTGCATTTTTTTATTATTTGTTACCATTAAGCTGATGGCTCTGAAGCCAATGTTTTATAAATAAATAAATAATAGTAAACCAATTGAATTTAGTCGTTTTAAGCTGCTGTCCTCGTAGCCAATGCTCAAGAAATAAAAAAATAAAAAAATCAATTGAATTTTGTTTTGGTCGTGTTATACGTATCTATGGTAGTGTCTTAATAGTTTGTGGTCGTGTTGTTACAGGGAGGTTATAAAAATGTGCGAAAAATAAGTTCCTAAACAATTTTGTAAGAATATCTGAAATAATAACAGTTAACTGCAGTTATAAAAATGTTGTACGACGATTTTCAACCCGTTGTGGATTTAGTGCTAAATAACTGGACAGCACTCCAGCTTGCGGTAGAACACGGTATGGGTGCGCCTGGGGGAGAAAAGGTAGAGATTTGATTAGCTTGCTAGTTTAATAGCGTCAATGACACATTACACAGAATCAATAAGACTGAAAATCCTACATATCTTATTTATACATAAATGTGTACTAATATCATTCAAGTTGTCTATATATTGATTTTTGTTAACAGCCTTCCTTGTCTTCTTAATTATTGATTAGATCACAGTTTTTCGCTTCAACCTTCAGATTCGGCTGAAATTGCTGAAAATTAAAAATGAGAACAGAGTATTGTAATTTTTCTTGTCTAAATCCACCTCTCCTATGTAAATCATATGTCGAAATTGCCAAGTTTACAGGCGTTTTAAAGTTTTGAGTTCGCTGAAATGTGCATAACACATGACTTAAGCGTTTCTCAGTTTTATCGGCTAACCTCATTACTCACACAGAGTATTATAAAATCCTAGATATCGGGTAGATGAACGACCACAATTTATTTTGTCATATAATCCCATAGAGCTGTTGCTAAATACCCTAATTAATATTATATCCCGCTTCTCAGACCATAGCTTACCGAACAACATGCGTCAAAAACTGACTGAACTGGTTTCTCTTATTTCCCTTCAAAATGGCCCAGGCTCTCCTTCAATGGAACTGTCGTAGTATATCTCTAATAAAAAAACTGAACTACTGTACCTTACTAATAAATACAAGCCCTTCCTCATAGCCGTCCAAGAGACATGGTTAAAGCCCGACTCTATTTTTCGAGTTCCGGGCTTTGCTTGCCTCCGGGATGATAGGGGGGATGGCTATGGCGGTGCAGCTATTCTAGTTGCACCTAACCTTTTTGACACCTTTAATTTGTGTGTGCTTAATGATGGCTCTCACACGAGATGAGTCCTTCGATCCCAAAATCCAAAGAATGCTACTGATCTTACTTTATCTTCTCCTTCTGTGTCATCTAGACTATTCTGGTATGTCCTGCCTTACTCCCGTGGCCATTTCCCTATTAAAATATCATTCCCTGATCCGGTTCCGACTTTTTCCTCCTCTCCTCATCTCAAATTCCAAACAGCCAAAGCAGACTGGGATAAATATAATACCTATTTAAATGAAGAAGTTTCTCTCCTTCCCCCTCCCAACATGAATAACATATCCATAATGTATGAGGAGTTCAAAAATGCCCTCCTATCTGCGGCTAATAGGTCCATTCCTATAAAAAAGAAATCCTCCAAAAAGATCCCGTTCTCTCCTTGGTGGGACCCTGAATGCATGGATGCTGTCAGGAAACGAGAGTCTGAATCCCTACTTTCGTCTTGTCTGACGAGGGAAAGTACAAAATTTTTGCTAATTAAGAAAAAATTGGGTTGGCAAAAGTTTTGTGAGAGCCTCTCTCCTAATTCTCCCCCCTCTTTAATTTGGAAGGGTATAAAGCGGTTTCGTGGTGCTTTTCTCCAGAAGCTAGATTATTGTCCAATGACCCCTCAGAATGGGTTGAATCATTCGCTTCTAAATTAACACCTCCTTATACCCCATCTGTTGAAGAAACCTCTCCAGTTTGGGTCCCCTCTCCACAAAACTCTGTCAATAATTTTGAAGCCCCTTTCTCTATGGAGGAGCTTCTTTCTGTCATTGGTTATCTTAAGGATTCTTCTCCTGGTGTTGATGGAATCCTGTATTCTCTTATTGTTAACGCTAGTTCTTCTTCCAAACTTTATTTTCTTAATATCATCAACAATACTTTCCATTTTCTATTATTATTATTACTAACAAAATATGGAACTTTTTGTCCGAAATAAAAGTATTTTATTTTATTTTTCTTTTTTTATTTAATATGTTCCTCTCTGGCACTCCCCCTGAGAACTGGAAAACTCAAATAATTGTTACCATTCTTAAGCCTGGAAAGTTATTTAACGACTCATCTGGATACCGACCTATCGCCTTGTCGTCAGCCCTGGCCAAAATTCTAGAACACCTTATAAATAATAGATTGGAATGGGTAGTGGAAAGCAAGGACCTTTTAGCTAAAAGCCAATTTGGTCTCCGTAAAGGTCTTAGTACGATGGATAGTCTTGCCATTTTTACGACAGAAATCCGACTCGCTTTCTCTAAACGTGAATCGATGGTCGGCGTCTTTTTGGACATCTCTTCAGCGTACGACAACGTACTACTTCCCCTACTCAGGCAAAAACTGCATAATCTGAGTATCCTGGCGAAGCTAGTCAACTTCTCCATTAACCTCCTTCTGTCCAGATCTGTTCTTATTTGCACTAATAATGTTTATCTCCCCGCCAGATTAGTTTGGAAAGGCCTCCCGCAGGGCTCTGTCCTTAGCCCTCTTCTTTATAGTCTTTACACCCATGACTTAGAATTATCGGTAAATTCTTTCTGTAATGTCCTCCAATATGCTGACGACCTCTGTTTATACTCTGTCGTTCCTGACACTCTCGATGCACAGCCCGCTCTCTCCTCGGCTCTCCACTATTTAAATGTATGGTTAACGGATCATGACCTTTCCCTCTCCTTTCCCAAAAGCACTGTGGTGATATTCTCCAATAAAAAGTGTATCCCTGATATCTCTATCTGCTGTGATTATCTTTCTATCTCTGTACTAGACAAGCTTAAGTTTCTTGGGGTTACCTTAGACCCCCAAATTGTCAGGCGTCCACCACATCAATCACGCAGTCCACAAATGTGAAAATAACATTAACATTATCTGTTCCCTCTCTGGAGTATGGTGGGGTTCACATCCATACTCGCAAAAACTTATCTACAACGGCCTGATTCGTAGCCACCTTGACTATGGCTCTTTCCTTTTAGAACCTTGTAACAAAAGTAGTTTAAATAATTTTGACAAAATCCAGTCTAAAAGTCTTCGTATTGTCACGTGCTATGAGATCGTCTCCTACTAACGCCCTTCAGATTGAATGCGTAGAGCCTCCTCTTTCAATAAGAAGACAATACCTCTCGGATAGATTTCTCTTCAAGATCATGCAGCTTGCTTCCCATCCTCTTCTTTCTAAATTACAAAACCTCTCTGAATTAGTGTCTGCCTCTTCATATTGGATTCACAAAGACGCCCCTTGTTGTGTTGTGTTGTTTGGTTAAAAGCTATCTCAAAATTTCCCGTCTCTCTTGCCCTATTTATGCAAATTAAATCCGATTTTCGAAACCCCTTTTGATGCCGTAGCAAAATTAAATATCCATTCATCCTAAAAATTAAACAGATCCTGCACTGTCTTGCTGCTAGAGAGGTCGAGGTCTCGTTGGCTTGGATAGCCAGTCACATTGATATCCGAGGGAACGAAACTGTGGACGAATACGCCAAGGAGGCGACTCTCTCAGGCTGTCTCTCATTGTACAAATGTTACGCTCACGACCTGACATCGTTAGCTAAGGATCGTCGAGATTTGGACTGGCATGCGCACTGGGGTCGAACTAGCCAAGAGAAAGGCGCGTACTACGTACGTTCAAACTAACATCCCAGTAAAACTATGTTTTTTTAAGTTTCGCGAAGCTAGTAAGGCAACCACTTCTACGATCTGTAGATTGAGCCTGGGCCACACTTGTTCTCCTGTGTTCCTTTATAAAATCCGTGTCAGAGACAACTCTTTATGTGATTGTGGTCTGGACGAGGGTACCCTTGATCACATTTTCTTTCAATCTCCTCAATTGACTTCCTTCTTGTATGACCTCTTTCCTTCTTCCATTCCTCGTCCTATTAACCTTAAATCCCTCCTTCTTTATGTGTACTTACCCTTTATTAACATTTTGTGTTATTTTATACGCTCTAATCATTGACTTACAATTATAATATAATGCTTTAATCCGTTGTTTGTCCATGATTGTTTTTTTTTACCCCAGGTATGATTTCCACAACAGCATTCCGTCGAAAAGACTCATCTAAAAATAAATACCTTGCTGCTACCGAAACGTTGACGTTATTGAACAATATTAACTGACAACATTAATCGAAACTGACACTGGCCCAAGCCTAGTGGCCGCCATTAAGGAAATAGAATAGAAGTTTGATTCCGGTGTTATCGACAACTGAGTTATCATAAGGTTCTGAATCGACCCCTGGCCCTGTACGCCAGCTCTCAGTTCAACATCTGTCCGAAAGATAAAGTGAAAAGGCATTTTGAGACAAACACATTCTATCAGTCATGTTGTTGTTTGGCATCAGGTGGTAGTAGTGTTTAGTAGCAGTAGAGCTCCTTGTGTTAAAAAAGTTAGTCCAAGGATGTACTGCCATCTTCCCTATTTCCTCTACCAACCGGTAATGTGAGCATTGCTGTAGTCCGGTTTTAAAAAGCAAGGGCTCTGGTGAAGTTACAGGCACGTGGGACTTGTCAACTTACATCTCAAGGTGACCAGTCCAATGGCAGTGCCCCTCAGATATTTTCGATGTAAAGTGTCACTCAAATGACACTACAACTGCTATGGACAGGTGTGTAGCTTACTGCCTAGTGGCAATTCTTGTTCGACCCGCCACTTGGTGTCATAAAAAAAGTCAGATTGTGGCCAAACATAATTCAAATCCTTCCCGATTTACATATATTTTACACTCTGTAGTACACACCCGTATCCAGCACTTGATGATGAATGTATGAATACGATAATCTACATAAGTAACAACAATGGTCTTGTAGATTATGATATACAGGATGTAAGAAAAGGGGGCAACCATAGTATTTGAGTAGATCGTCGCCAGAGATAGGAATCTTCGGCGATCATAGTCTATGGTCGCCTCTTTTTCTTTTGGTTGTTGTTGGCAGAGTATATCTACTTGAACTTTGAGGAAATAGTACATAGAGTAGATAATACCTCCCTCTGAAATCCTGGAATTATTGCATTGGATGTTGTTCTACAATTTTTGATGAGTAAACTGGCAATTGCTCTAATACGTTAGGTAAATAGAAAGTTTTGTAGTTGTAAATAAAAAAATTACTATTTTGTTTGGATTTTCATTCCTTAAAGTTTAGGTTAACCCGACTTCCGATCTCTGGTGATGATCAAGTCACTACACAACACTAACGTGGCCCCATTTTCTTACAGCCCGTATATCATAACCATGACCATTGTTGTTACTCATTTAGATGATCGTATACAGAGGTAATAATTATGTTTATTAATATTTTGGTTTTTAGACAGCTCAACTGATGTCAGTGTACATAGCAAGATACTGCGTGGAAAATATTGTCGACCGAGACGAGCTGACCGAGGTGCTCGAAGATCTCATGGATGAAGAATTCGATACTGTTTGCCATGACAATTCTCCTAAAGGTATTATGTAAATATTTAAGTAACACTGTACAATTATATATAATAATAATACCTATTATATAATATAGCGTTTGATGGTTTTCCGACCGGCATTTGAGGAACTGTTTATGCGAGTAAGGGACTCACCACATTTATCGACGCGATATCGGCGGTTTGAGGCGATTATGTTTTAGCACACTCGTCGTATTAAGCTAATATCCGTCGACGCGGCCATTCGGCCATCGACGCCGCCGATCAGCTGTGTCATCGGCTGCGTACGGACGCGATCGAAAATTTGCAAGGAGCAGATTCAATGCCGACCTATGTCAAAGCGCGACATACAAACTGATGTGAAACACAGAACGTCCTTTTCGCGCTTATTACATAGACAAAGCTATTTATGACCTGCTTAATGCGAATCCGTGTCGACAAGCGTGGTGACTGCTTGATTGGTAGAGAAAGTTACTCACTAAAATTACTGTCTTGCGTTATTTATACGATACAGTTTCAAAATTGTGAAATGTCCTCTGCGTAGTTTTCACTTATGCAAATGCTCCAGGGGAAATCTTTAAAACTTTAATTGACCATGCTATCTTCAATTTCAGAAATAGCATCGGTGTTACTACTGTACCTTAGCTTGCTCAAAGAAGGTAGACATGACGAACTTAGAGCCCGAATAGAAGCAATGCCCAAATGCCAGAAGTGGCTTAGTCAGCCCATACATGAATCTGTTCCACCACAGGTAGGGTTATTTTATAACATCAATTCTAACTTGTCTTGTAGAATACAGTTCCTGACAGATAATACTACTATATCTGTTAATATTATTATCTATCTGCAGTCTGCACTAGGAGCAAGTATTTTATGGAATTCAAAATCTGCAGTTGTAATAACTGAATAACTTTAACAATATGAAAAGTATTGGATTGCCGCTTGCATTTTTGATAATGCATTTAAGTACCGTTCTATTGCTTCTAGTACCATGGCAATCCCGATGATGATACAACGAGCAGCAGCAGCGAAGAAGATGACGATTCAGAGCCGATGAACGATGATCTTCCAATGTATGCTGCTCCCTCGAGCAACGTTGACCATCCAAGTGTTGACACCAGCCAACCGTCATCATCACAAACTGAGCCAATGGACGAGGATGAACTAGAACCCGGATGGACAGTTGTACGAACGCGGAGGAGGAAATAAAATATATTAAAACTATTTATAATGTAATTTTAATATTTATATTTGTTGTTAGTTGTGCCACTGTACTTGTTAAGCAGTGTATTCAGTATTCTGCATAGCCGTCAACACAAAGAGACTACACTATGTAATGATAGGGTTGTGGTCAATTTTATGAGGAATGGACGAGGCCAATAAGAAAGATGGAACCTCAGTTATTGTTGGAAAAGGGCAATTAGTATGTACATATATACGAAAGAAACTAATCACTAAGGCGGTGCCAGTGCATTATTAAAGGTTAGAATTACATAAGAAGTCACAAAGGAGAGATCTGATTAATATAAAATCGAAAGATAACCTATTTGTGATCCAAACCTTCCAATTTCACCGTTATCTTTGCTTAGTGTTTCTGCAGTGACAGATATCAAAACTATTGGAATGCTATGAAAATCAAAACGTTTTTATTTAATTAAATGTACTTACAGCTCTGGCCAAAAGCTACAAAGCTGGTCCCTGTTTTTAACTTTTTTGCCAAAGCTATCTAGATCTTCACGCCACCTATGAGGCCTAACTCGATGCTGGAGAATATCACTCGATATGGATTCATGCCCACCTTTCAAATAATATTCCTTTTTCTACCTGTTGTTACCATCTTTGGCATAATGCTATCTCTTTTTATTGTCCAACATGCAGATAGTGAATGCCTCGGTTTAACGTCATAGTAAGCACCTTGTATGTAGCAATTTACATTGTTGTATAGACAGTCATATCAATTTAAGAAATTTTTAACCTTCTGTGACATGTAATAAAGACGAGGTTGGTATGTGTATTACTATGTGAAAATAAACTTGATCATTATTTATGTTGCCGATTGAAAGTATATTATGATTAGTCCCACAGTTAGGCACAGATTTCTAAAGACGCTAATAATATTCAGTACAGTAGTTACATTCTACTAACTTTATCATGTTTATTAATTCTAGCGACACATAAAACGTCACCCTGTATTGTAAGTAAGTGTTGAATATTAACCAGTTAGCATGGAATGTTCTTGTTAAAAAATAATATTATTAGCCTTTGTACTAAAAAGGCATTTGCTTGCCGTGTACGGTGAAGAGGAGAGAGGATTCGAGATCACAGATTTCTGGTAGGTTGTACAAAATGTACAGCCGAGTAAATGCTAACAATTTACATTTGGAACCTTATAAGTTGTGGCACTTTTTTGGACTTAATGTACTATAAACAGGGAACATTGATGTCAATACCGGCACCATGATTACAATAAATGCTAGTCAGGATTTTTGACATATTTTTGTTTGTTTGTTACATATTGTTAATTTAAAATAAATAATCAGATATTTATTTCCTTCTTTACGTTTGAAGCAGCCATCTCGCTTAAAAAATTTAGTACTACTATTAACTTTATTTACTAGTAAGTATATATTAATTCTAACAACACATAAATTGTCACTCTATATCATAGTAGGTAAGAATATTAACAAGTTAAAATTGAATGTTCATATTAAAGGGTAAATGTATGTTAAAAACGTAACTTTGTATGCAAATATGAATTTTAAAAAAATAAAACAAAAGTATCAGCTAGGCGAATATAACTTAAAAATGTATTTTATTATTCCAATGACATTAGATTACAAATATGACTACAATATACAGGTGAATTTAAAAAAAACTTCACACAATATATTTGAGATTAATTGTCAAAACAGGTTTAGAAGTGTATTTTTAGAAATCAAGAAAAATTAATGTTTTTTTTTAAATAGAAAACCACCGTGAGACTCAGACATACTAACTAAATATTAACGAAACTAACGGAGAACTCACAGTTAAGTCGAATTTTTGCTCGACGTGTTCAAACCAGTTCGTGGTCCTTAATCATGGGATTCAACGGCGGTGATTAGACGAAAACTGCGCGCTAAAGCCCTGGCAGCCCGATCACTCTGAACGGCTGCGGGCGCAGGCGGCGTTGGCGAGCAACTATCCTCGGTTGCTTCATTTATAGTATAGTCATAGGCAGGATTGCACATTACACTATGTTCTAAGCACAGAAGAACATTGGTCCGTTAGTTTAGTTAATAAATTATTTTTTTAAATGGTAACCCGAGGTAAGCTTACCTGCGCTCCGACTTCGACCTCATCTTGATGATTCAATAGTCTGTAGCCAAGAGCGAACTAATATTTGAAAAAAAGTCAGGAAAGAAAGATATTTGAGACCTCCTTATACCGTCTGCTTATTTTGGTTTATGGAACATCGATTTAAAAAAAATTACATCCTCAAAAATTCGTTGACTAAATTTAATTTCACCCTGAATTAACTTAGTACAGTCAAGAACACGTCAAGCTTGACACTTGAGATTTAAATCCAACTCTATGCCGCTTACGATAAGAACGGTCCAAAGTCCAACATCTTTACCGTTCATACTACGAGACATAAAGCATTTTCAGACTGACTCACGCCATCACAGCTTGAATAAGTATAGTGACTCCTCTAGGAACGAAAAAACAGATAGCGCTTCGTGCGAATAATTAAAAATATATTCAAATTTCACGTATTCGTGGATGTTGAGAATATACAAAGCACCACGTTCTATACGAAATTATAAAAAGACACCCCCCAATTTAATCCTCAAACGTGCTGCTGGCAAGTAATAGATATCGTTAGGTGCTGGTTCATTAGATACAACTGCACTGTCAGCATCGCGTTCTTTCTAAACACGTGTTTTAAGTGTAGGTACATTGAATGGTGTAAAGGCGGTCACATATAAATAAGTAAATCGATAGATGATATTAAAATAAACAATCATATTTGAGAAAGTAGCTTAGTGATCTATAGTTTCGGACATTTAAGGCGTCGTCGTCCTTATTGAACGCGAATACGCGTCCTAATAAATAATCGCGCGAGTCCGTGTTCTCGTGATCATTATCATGATCATGAGCCAGCTTGCAATAACGCAACGCAATTATCAATTAGGACATCAACATATTTGATTATGCGTTCGTACGAGCTAAGTTCGCGTGAATATATTCAAACATTATAGTCACAATTAGGACACCTATGATCGCAGGTTCGCGCGAACTTGTAATCGCATTCAATTAAGACGACACCTTACGCCGACTTACCTATTGATTTTGGTAACAGGCAATACTAAAAGTAGGCATGTTACGAGTAGCCATACTGTTTCTTTACAAAGTTATGACGGCGCTGTGGCTGTTTGTATACGTGATGTTATTTGGTGGAGATATGTACTTCATTATCATCAGATGTTCGAAGTTTGATGTTAATCTATGGAGATACTTTGTCATTAATCCTTTGCGGCGACATGTACAGCCAAAACACATGAAACTTGATTCATTGAACTTTATCCATTCGTTCTTAACGTAGAGTTAGAGTTGATTTTAAAACTTCATATAAGGTAATTCATGATCATCATCATCAAATGCTTGATGTTTGATTTTATTCAGTGGTGGTGGTGGAGGCACTTCATCAGCATCGTCATCAGATACATGATGTTTGATATTATTCAGTGGTGGTGGTGGAGGCACTTCATCATCATCATCATCGTCATCAGATACTTGATGTTTAATATTATTCAGTGGTGGTGGTGGAGGCACTTCATCATCATAATCATCATCATCATCATCATCAGATACTTGATGTTTAATATTATTCAGTGGTGGTGGTGGAGGCACTTCATCATCATCAGATGCTTGCTGTTTGATATTATTCTGTGGCGGCCAAGGTACGTCATCATCATCATAATCATGATATGCTTGATATTTGATATTATTCGGAAATGGTGGAGGTAATTCATAATCATCGTCACTATCATATGCTTGATATTTAGTATTATTCAGTACCGGTGGAGGTAATTTATCATCATCATCAAGTGCTTGATGTTTAATATTATTCGGTGCTAGTGGTACTTCACCATTGTCATCGTCACGTGCTTGATGATTTATATTATTCGGAAGTGGTGTAGGTAATTTATTATCATCATATGCACGATGTTTGGTATTATTCGGTAGCGTGAAAGGTTGTTTGTTTTGTGCAGTCATTTTATCATTGTCAGATGCTTGACGTCCGAGGTTATTTGGTGGAGGTTCATTATTAAAACTAGATGCTTGACGTCCGAGGTTATTTGGTGGAGATTCGTTATCAAAGCCAGATGCTTGACGTCCAAGGTTATTTGGTGGAAGTTCATTATCAAAACCACAAGCTTGACGTCCGGGATTATTTGGTGGAGGTTCATTATCAAAACCAGATGCTTGACATCCGAGGTTATTTGGTGGAGGTTTATTATCAAAACCAGATGCTTGACGTCTAAGGTTGTTTGATGAAGGTTCATTATCAAAGCCAGATACTTGACGCCCGGGGTTATTTGGTGAAGGTTCATTATCAAAACCAGATGCTTGACGTCTGAGGTTATTTGGTGGAGGTTCATTATCAAAACCAGATGCGTGACGTCCGAGGTTATTTGGTGGAGGTTCATTATCAAAGCCAGATACTTGACGCCCGGGGTTATTTGGTGCAGGTTCTTTATCAAAACCAGATGCTTGACGTCCGAGGTTATTTGGTGGAGGTTCATTGTTTAAACCAAATGCTTGACGTCCGAGATTATTTAGTGGAGGTTCATTATCTAAACCAGGTACTTGACGTGCGAGGTTATTTGGTGGAGGTTCATTACCAAAACCAGATGCTTGACGTCTGAAGTTATTTGGTGGAGGGTCATATGTTTGACGTCTTATTTTATACGACGAAAGTGGTCCTTTATTAGCATCGTCATAATCAGATGCTCGACGCATGGTAATCCTTGATGAAGTTTCACCATTGACCTAAAAAAATTTGACGTGCATTAATACAGAATCTTCTTAAGATCTTTTTACGATATGCTACTCGGAAAATGTTGTATGTTAACCGACAAAATAGAAATATTGAGCATTAAAAGTTTTTTCATCACACCCGCTCATAAGTAGTTACGTTACATGCAAGGAAACTAGGCGGTACTTTATCATAAGGCCATATACCGGTAATGCACGTTTTTTTTCGATTTCTACGCTTCCCTGCAGCACGGTAAAGCGTGGACAAACTGCTGGTTCGGCCATAACGCCGCCTTGCGCCAAACTGGTGATACGACTCCAAAAAAATTATTTTTTTTAATATTATTCAAATAATTTTTTTTCAAAATTCTTCATATAAATTTAACAGATACCTATTTAAAATTTTGTAAATGTATGATACTGTACCTAGGTATAAATAAATAACGTTTTTACATCTAATTCTCCCATTTTTTTTAACTTCCTCTCTAGTATGTAAAAAAAATTTGCCAAAAGTAATCTTTTAGGAAACAATATTATTTTGTCAAATACTTAGAGGATGGAAAAAAGTCTAAGGTCAAATCTAAGAGTCGTATTCCAGAACTCTACTCAATGCTCAAGTCAGGTCTTGAGTATGATTTATAGCACTAGAAATCATACTCATTTCACTTAAACTTGAAATAGTAAAAATAATAAGAATAAAACAATAAAAACCTCGTAGTGAATTATTTTAATAACAGAATATAGATAATATGTACGCTTCCAAGAACAACACTAGGTATCTCAAAATAATCATTAACAACAATCATCAATATACAAACAAACAGGCAATCTGAAGAAACCAAAGCAAAATTTGGCAAGATTTATTTATGATTAAACTACATAAATATGTCTAATTACATGAGATATTTGGGCTTTTGTGTGATTTATAGACAGAAAAATAACACGTGCCTGTACAATGTTACATTCGGTCGATATTCGCTTTTTTAAATGCCACATCCCGTAATGCAGCAGCGACGAATTTTTATTAATACTTGATTGTTCTCACTGTCAATATTTTTATCCATTTTATTACAATACATGCGAATAATTCAATAAAACACTTGGAAAAACATTTGTTTTGGCATTTGATGTACTTCTCTTTGACAACCGTATCATGTACCTCATGTACTGCGAAATGGACACGGTTGGCATTTAAGATGACGTTACGTATTTTCGATTCCCGTGTTTGACACATACCAATGTAATGCTATCTCTTTTGGCTTAAGACAGCACGCAATAGTTAAACAAAGACAATAACATGTTTATGTTTACGACATGAACCTACCAATTTCGACGTCGAAATGCATCATATAACGTCTGATTCATATAATGTCAACATAATATGTCCTCTAAGGGTCAATTATGATTGGCGTGTTTCTAGAAAATGTATACAATCACGTATAAATATCGATGGTATAAACTATAAACCAAAGTACAAAGTGTAACATTGCAAACTCTGAGGGTCGTATTTCAGAACTCTACTCAATGCTCAAGTCAGGACTTGAGCAGACTTGAGTATGATTTCAAGCACTGGAAATACGACCCTAATGGCAAGGACTTGAGTATGATTTTTAATGCTTTAAATCATACTCAAGTCCTGACTTGTTCATTGAGTAGAATTCTGGAATACGACCCTGAGAAATCATGTTTCTTAATAAGCAATAATATATACTAATAACTCAATAACATAATTATGATTCTGCAAATAATTTCTATAAAAAACAAATAACTCACCGCATAAATGCTCATACTGGTCGCGGCGCTAATTAGAGCAAGGAATATCGTAAAGGATACAATTTGAGCCATTGTTGCACCTAGTTCAGTTCATCTGTGACAAAATAGACAAAATTAGGATCATAACATTGAAAACAAGAACTGTCGGTATATGTAATAAGTTGATTTGACACGCGTTGACTACGCTTCCACATTTAGGTATGACAAATGGCTGTGGAGTGGAATTACCAGACTGAACGCTGTTACCTAAGTTGAGCCTTTACGAGGCGAATTTAAATCGGCATTATTTAGGTGTGCATGCTCCATCGTCGATCTCATCGTCACTTTCCAACAGATGAGATGGACGTCCAATGCATACTTATTTTTTCATTAAAAAAATAAACAAGAACAATCGATCAACTTCTTTCGCTTCTGCCAACCGGTTTCGCGTTCGCGTGGGGTGATAGAGTGCACCGAAATTTTTTTATTTGTCTTAAGAGATCTAATAATTAGCTGCCATTTACACTCGAACTTCGCTCTGTAAAATATATAACACTATGAAATACAACATTCAACTACAACCTCCGGATTGACAGTGATATTACGAATTTTAGTCAATCGGTAAACACTAAATTTAAATAAATCGGTAAACAAGCTTCACTTTTAAATTTGTCAAAGTATTAGGTGTTAAATAAATTAAATTAAACGAAATTACAGCAGCCATTAATAATAAAAACTTGATAATTAGTTATATTTTACCATTTGGCATGTTTTAGTGTTATTCGAAAACAAAAATATTAAAAAATAATTCGATCTTTGTATGTATACGTACATACTCATAATCATAACAAAACTAGTTATTTCACAAAAGTCTCAATGAATAAAAAATAATTTTCACACTAAGGTGACCCAGCGTAGTGGACATCAATCAGTTGAGGAATGCAGTTATACTTTTAAATAGACGTCGTCTATTATAATAGATCCATTAGCCACAGAAACTCTATATTGTAAGTATGACCTAAAGTCGTTGCGAGAGAGAGAGTATGACGTTGTGGATAGCACCTGTGATAGCACGATGCTCTTTTTAGATATGATACAAAATAATAACTTACGTCAAGTTCACGATCCCTTGAAGGTTGCTGTGATTATGGCCTAATACAAAGCGGCATTGCTTATTAATACAACAAATCTTTTACCTGTGGCTGTTTGTAGTTTTACTCTTTTCCTTCCTCATATGTATAAAATAAACATAAAAAGAGAACTCTTTTTGATGTTTTTTTCGTGGTAGGTAGGTTATTTATAAAGCTACAAATTTAATTTTTAAAATTTTATATTACATGCAGTGTGTACCTAACTAACCAATACAATTTTGTGTCTGTTGATATTCATAATAAAGTTTAGATACAAAAGTTAAAAGCTCGGTGATCGTCTACTCCTATGATTATTACATCACAAATTTTAATAGCCTTGATGCTAATAAATAAGGCAGCCGCAGAGAGATGTGTGGTGGAGTGGGGAGCGGCTTTGGGTCCACGGATAGTCCGACAGGTTGTAGGACACATAACAAGTTGCGGGCAGTGGAGTAAACGCTATTTTAACAAGTTATATACTCCCGGACATATAATTCGAGCCACCTCGCATCAGTATTAAATGCCCTAAGCTTAACCAATGTTCGATTGATCAAGAACTATCTCCTACGCAATTTTGAAACTAGTATATTAAAAGTCTTTTCCATAAGTCCTTGTTGTAAATTTGGACTTGCAAAACCGAGGGAAACCTTTTTCTTCGATGATTACACTATTTTTGTATTCTAGCCCTTTAAGGCTAAAACGCGAGGTGGTTCGAATTATGTGTCCGGGAGTATATTTTGGACCCCTGTCAATGTCGTGTTGTGGTAGTATTAAGGACTTATGTATTTTAATGAACATATACAACATTGGCGTGAAAATTTTGTCAGAATTTTCTTCATCGATTTTCTACATCAGCTACACTACCAATTTTAAATATCCACTGGTAATAAATAAACTTTCAACGTTACGACTGATCTGAGGAGAGGCTAGGCGCGACCACGACGTCAGACGGTATGCTTCGGTATGTTTAAAGATAGTGCGGCATAATGCCTCAGTATACTATTTAAATGCAATTGCCGTTAGTTTACGCTGGCATGTTGGGAATGCCGAAAGATCCCTTACCATCCCACCCTGCCAATAAATAAACAAGGTGCATGGAAAGTAACAAGATGCAAGCTACTTGCGCAAAGGAACTCTTCTACTTGTGTTAAGGGTCATTACATCAAGCGGCAGTGACCTCTTCCTGAAATTTCTTATTATTTTATTTCATCAAGCTTGAAATTTTATCTCAAGTTGAATTTAAATCTGAAGGGTGAAGCTAGTAAACAACGTTCCTGTTAACTATAAACCGAACAGGTTCAGTAACTGTCAAAGTCAAAAATACTAATCAATGGGAAATGGAAAACGCATGTCCGTGCGTACAATAGAAAAATCATTAAAATTAATTCATTAAATTTAATATATGTGTAATTAAATAATGCTTTAAAATGCCGTTAACAGCAAGGCAAAGAAGTATTCATAATAAGAATGGAGCAAAACGGACAACAAGCTTTAAAGGGAAGCGTCTACGTAAAGGCAGCGAGGGGTAAGAAATGTTTTTATTTTCAATTATATATTGCACTAAACAGCCTTCTCTGTTGTTTTGAAAACCTATTATATAACAAGCTATACATTTAACGTAAAAAGGGTAAATGTAACATGGATGTAGGAAGGTTCCATTCCTGTCGGTCTATCGCTAATTATTTTCTGTTACAAGTGTTTGGCGCACATCCAGACGCCTGAAAGCTTCGGAAGAGGTAAACCATGACGCATGATGCGTAGCATGGCGTCATTGACAAGAATATTCTGTTTTTCTCACCCTCTTTATACATACTAACCTTTAATGTTTTTGTGATACCTGCCACAGTTCATTTTCATACATAATATAGAGCTTATCTTAGTTTTTTTCTGTGAAAGTATACATTTTCAGAAAGACATCAGTGTCCCATAGGTAATTGTTTATTAAAACACATTCTTAACTTCAAAGAAGTAGAAGGTTCTCAATTTATCTGTACACTTTTTTGGGTGTATGTATGTGATTGCTCCAACATTTTTATTTTGTATATTTGTAAACTGATTATGATAATCCTTTTTTTTTGTTGGAAAGGGGGTGTCTCAGTAATGGTCCCATTCTAATTTAAAGAAAATATACCACCTCTATGGATTCCAAAATAATGAATGAGTATGATTTATAGAATTTCACCCATTTTCCATTAACCAATGTCAATAAAACTTGGCATATAGATGTAGTTTTTAAAAATGCACCAAAGTCAAATAAGCAAACTTTTGAGGTTAGTCTTACACTTGTCTCTTAATGTGTAGCCCTACTTTTTACATTCGTGATATACTTGTTTTGCTTCCATTTATGTCTTTTCATACTTATGTAAAGGCTTGAGTTCCTTTACCTGTGAATGGCATAATAAGAGAGCAAGCATAATGGAGGAGTTTAAAAATGTACGTAGTCCTTGCACAATTTGTGAATGTGACTTAGCTCACTATACATTTATTAGAATTGGGTTATGGTAAATAACACAGGCAGTAAAGGCCAAGTTTTTAATGTGATATTCATTACAGTAGAGCATTTATTTATTTATTTTTAAATTAAAAACTTGATATTTTCTGATGTGTACTTCGTTTCAATCCATTTTTTCAAAAAAATTGTTTCATTTCCTATGTGTAACAATCGCGAAAACCTTGATGAAGTTTTGTAGTTATAATATTACTAGCATTCCATGGGAAAATCAAGGGAATGGTCCAGCATGTTGTTTGACCGTGCACCTGATATCATCCTGGTATCACTGCTTAGTATAATTGGGATTTATGGGAAAGAAGGTTTAGAATAATAGTGTGGTATAGCGAGCTGTTTTTTGCAAGGCACTTGTTATGTGTGTTGAGAATGATAATGTTCAATATTTAGATTGTCTTTTTTCATTAACCAGTTCTTATATTTCATGTCTTTTATTTTTAGAGAATACATAGTTACGAGTGCACCAACAGACCTACAAAGTTTGGCATATCCTGGTGGAGCAGTGGCATTGGCACTGCTGTTGGTTGCACGATTAGCATCTGCCTATTGGGGCCATATTTCAGACTGCGATGAAACATTCAACTATTGGGAACCTCTTCACTATTTAGGTAAGTTATAAATTTATTTATATGAAAAAGTTAATAGAAGGAAAAACAAAAACCTAGAAAAAGAAAAAATAACCATAAGTTCACATAATTTGGAAAATATGTTATAAGTAAATAATGACTGTGATTACCCCAGCAACATTAAAGAAGTCATCAATTTAAAAAGAATAAAGATAATCAACATTTTAAAACTTCATTTATACTTAACATACTGATACACAACTTGACACTTTCGAATGTAGATAGGGTTGCCGAAGTTGACCTTTCCTTTTGTGTCCTTATTCCACTAAAGAATGGGTTTTTTCTATATGACTGAACTGTCAAAGCTTTGTAGTTTGAGAATTTATTTTCTGTAAATAATTATGCATTCACTTACATGAGAGACTTGTTACTTATTGTGACATATTTAGTAACTAACACCAAATGCATAAAATTTTTGTAATATTTCTCTAGAAGCGTTCTGTTTTTTATTCATATTGCTACATTATCTTTTACTCCACAACATACTTACATGTTTCTATCTATCATTTCACACACTTAATAAATTGAATTGTTGTAGTGTATGGAACTGGCCTACAAACATGGGAGTACAGTCCTGTCTATGCCATTCGGTCATACATGCCGCTGTGGCTATTTGCTGTACCTGCCAAAATGCTGTCATTCATTTTCTCACCTGTGACTGTGTTCTACTCTCTGCGATTTCTACTTGCTGTGCTTTCGGCGTGTGCTGAACTCATTTTTTACAAGTAAGACAATCATTATGATGATATTAAAGCCCAATTTTAAGTGTAGATCCTTCAATTTCTTGCGGGTCTAATATTATAACGCTTTCAGGGCCCTGTTTAGGCTTCTAGGTTGTAATAGCGCTGCTGGTGCTGGCGGCTTTCGGTGGACTGTAAAATAGCCTGGGTAGCGTAATACAGCTTGATCCAAGGGTAGTAATAGCCTCTGCAACCCACGCAGCCTCCATACGTTTTACTTAGCAAGTTTTAGCAGTTGAAAAGACGAAAGTCCGGTTTATAGGAATTTATTCAGTACAATAACAGTATCTTAAAATGTAAACGGTGTACAAGAGATTTAAGTAAGTGGTAAACGGTCCAAAAAATTGGAAGACGATGTGTTCTCTGCCGCGATCGGGTACAGAGTGACGATGGAAAGAAACAAAATCAGAATGCAAGGTAAAATGGAACAATTCAACATTTGAAATTTAAATATGACTAGAAGAAGAAAAAACGATACGATACGAATGGAGAGAGGCGATACAAAAAGGTGGGATGACGGTATAAGGAGGTCACCGTCACAAGGTTAGAGCTTCAGGTACGGTTGTAGACAAATTTTAAAAGACTGCATCAGTGTGTTCATCGTATACGGGGGAGTGTCAATGACATTCTGAATTAATAGCTAACCAATTCGACTCTTGTCATTCTCAGCTAACATATTGAACTACATGTTTTCAAACATGGGCTGTGAGCGGCCATAAAGTTTTAACGGTAACTTAGTTATTAAGTTAAAACCATAGATTTAGTTTAAAGTTAAAACTAATCATCGGTGGACTGATTTTGTCTGAAAATTTATTCTTCATACTTCATCATCAGCATACCGTATGCCGAAGGCGCTCGATCGAATCCAGGCAGATTGAAGGAATTTTTCTTACTGTCCGATCTTTGTATTAATAATTATAATAAACTAATCTCCACCGTGGCTACCATGGTTTGGTTCTGTAAATATAGCAAGGAAATATCTTATATTGGCTTTTATCCTGCGTTCTGGTCACATTGCAACTAATAAATTCTTTCATATGATGGGTTTTAAACCATCCCCATTGTGCAGTACTTGCAATAAAATAGAGGATCTGTATCATGTATTGGTGGAATGTAACCGTGACATAACCCTGACGGGTACAATGTTGGGGAATGTAAGCTTATACAATGGACAAATTAATTGTCCGTTATTATTTTGACTCTAGGTTGTTTATTCCCCATATTTTTTCCAATTTTGTATATAGATTTCAACCACCTTCTTTGTATGTATAAAATTGTGTGTACCCACTAGCGAAGATTACAGTCAGTGAGTGTTACATCTCATTGTTTAAATACCTATTTACAGGGCAGTGTGTCACGAGTTTGGGGTCCATGTAGGCAGAATATGGCTAGGCCTGACTCTACTAGCTGCAGGCAGCTTCGTTGCGAGCTCTGCTATGTTGCCTTCCTCGTGGAGCTTAGCTCTTGTGTCTGCTGCGCTCGCCAGCTGGTGGCGGAATCGATACCCGGCCGCTGTTTTATTTACGGCAGCTAATGCTCTGCTCAGTGAGTCTTTTGATTAAGATAATTGTATGTGTTATTATTTGTCGAAGTGTTTTTGTGCCGAAATCATTTTTTAAATTTATTTCATAAATCGAAATATTTCTTTAAAACACTAGGGCAAAATTTTTTTAAATTTATTTCATAACATTGGATTTCCGTTCTTCAGTTGCATTCTTATTTTTTAAATTTATTTAATGACCTCGGTTTCAAGTCCTTGAGTCGAAATGTTAGAGGTAGTGAACATACAAAGTAATATAAAAAAGTAAAAGTACTAGCAAATAATTGTAGCATTTTCACTGCAGTAGCAGTCGAGCTCCTTGTGAAATTTAATCTCATCACTTAATATTATATTAAAGGAAATACACAGTCATAAAAAGAAAGTGATATGTGAGAAAATTTACTTATTTTAGGCATACAATAGGTTTCATTTAATTTTGAATTATCACAGTATACATTTGCAAAAACTTAAAAACTTAAAAAAATTTGAAATTAATTATCTGAATTTTTGAATTTTTCAGTTGTTGCAAATAACCTTGTATCTATAACATATTAAATTACTCACTCCCTTGCCTTTTGTCTTCATTTTTAAACACATTAGTGTATAATTGAATACCATCAACAATAACAATAAACATTAGTGGTTGTTACAGCAAAAAAATATATAAATTTTTCCAGGTTGGCCGTTTACCGCACTAATTGGCCTTCCAATTGCAGTCGATATGTTAATATTGAAGCGACAATTTGTGGAATTTTTCAAATGGTCTCTCATTTCCCTAATTATCATCTTGCTGCCAACCATAGCTGTGGATTCGTATCATTATGGACGGCTGGTCATAGCTCCATGGAATATTATTGCATATAATATTTTCACCGAGCATGGACCTGACTTGTACGGAGTTGAACCGTGGACATATTATTTTATTAATGGATTCTTGAACTTCAATTTTGTTTGGGTAAGTGTTTTACGTAGAATTGCTTTAGTAGCAGTAGAGCTCCTTTTTAAATCTTATTTTCAATTCCAATTTCTTTGTAGTGGCTCCATCGATTTTCACGATGATTCTGCCAATGTCAGGGTTGAAAAAGACTCTTCTAAGTTGGTGTGACTATGTGCGATAGGATAGCCGGAGATCCGTTGGTATAATGAGAATCTAAAACGGGACAACATAAAGATACAAATTACACTATATAATATAAAAAACTAGAATAAAAGAGTGGGTTTATAAATATATATAATGGGATGAGGTATATTTTTAGGGAGCGAGTCATACAGGTGGGGTTGTATATTTGGACAGGGGAAAAATATATGATCTAAAGTGCCCACCCCGAGTCCGCATTCACAAATGGAATTGTGTCCTATCCTAATCTTGCCAGGAAGGCCGGTGAAGTAATGTGTCCTTGGGCCATTCAAATAATTATAGTCGTTACCGTTTGCTTAGGTTTCTTCTTATTTTTAATAAGGCCTGTAACACTTGGGTGTCGATGTCGGCATTGTGATGTCAATCTCTGTGGTTTATACTCTATCGTGTCGCCTCGTAGTGAGACGCAAGACCTCACATATGAGTACAAGTCTTAGCCCTCATCGTTAACGTGTCACTCAACACAATGTTTAACTCCTCAACCTGCCAAATATCCCCTAATTGAAATTGGCATCTTATAGCCACATAATGGTCACATTCCATCAAATGTAACATATCTTCAAGTTTGCTATAAAATTCTGTGGCTCTAGTGAAAAGGGATACAAGTCGAAAAAGTCAACTTTACAAGGAGACGCGAAAAACGGTTAAAGCTTAATATGATATTAGACGTGAAGAAAATGTATTAAGAAATATTCACATTTCTTTCAGGTACTGGCTCTGTGCTGCCCTGTGCACCTGATGGTGTGCCGGGCGCTGGCCCCTCGCTCCACCCTGCGCGCCACCTTCTGCAAGCCCTACTGGCTCACGCTGCTGCCCCTGGACCTGTGGCTGGCCGTCTTTATGCTGCAGCCGCATAAGGAAGAAAGGTATCCTCTACTTTAGCTTTCACTCCAAAAACAGATATTATAAATAGGTTTGTATTAATTTGAATAAGTCCTTAATTTGTTATAATTATTAATACAAAGCTTAGCTGGCATAGTGTCTGGTACGGTTTGCTAGAAGACGTTGGTTCGAACCCGGTCGGATCGAAGGAATTTTTTCTAAGTGTTTGATCTTTGTATTAATAATTATAACAAATTAGTGGAGTAACTTCACAAAATAAAATTGAATAACGATTCAATGCAAATTTAAGTCCTTAATTTTTCACGTTTTTGAAGAATTTTTACCATATCATACCTATTCTGTCGATAAGCAGTTTTGTTGAGTACCACTGCATTACTAGTTTTGAAAGGTAAGTAAGGGTGCTGGTAAAATGACAAGCACTTGTCAACTTTATATTACGATTTAGAGCTTTGTGGCGTGTCGCTTACCACCAGGCGCATGACTTGCTCGTTCTGTCACTGAATCTCATAATTTTTTTGCGAACCGACGACCATGTTCATTCTTTAAAATATTTTTGACCGATTTCAAAATTTTGATGATTTTTTTTTATTGGGAAGAGGGTACCTCAGCATTGGCCCCAGAAAACTGGGGGATGAAACCGGTGAGGTGGTTGATGTATGTCAACTCCCAACTGTCGATTCGGGACTTGAACCCGAATGCGTAAATTTGAATGATCTTATTTTAGTTAAAACTGATTATATCAATAATAGCAATGAGAAGGAAAGGTACGCGAAAACTAATGAAGCATATTATTTGATAGGATAAATACATCGAGTATATAACCAGAAAGAGACGAAATAAGCGTCATACATTCCTGGTAACACATCAGTGATACATCACTTATAAATATCAACTCTCGTTTGCACTCTAATTACAAATTAGAAAGCTGAAATAGTACAGCGCCAACAACTAACCTGTGTGTACGTCTCCGTATATTCCAAAAATATTCTGTATTTATTGTAATAAAGATAATATCTCTTACAATGGCGCGCTGTTCCATTCGGTGGTGTGGGGAAAAACAGCAAAACATCTAATTACAAGACAAACGGAATCAAATTTCATCGGTAATTAAATATTAAATATGTGATTTTGCAATTTTCGTCCATTATAGCAAAACTCAAGTTAACTTATCCATTTGAAGTGAAACAATTGACGACACCCGTCAATTGTTTCGAATTCGGGCTAACCAATCGGAGCGCAGTTGTCACAGTAAAGATAAGGCAGAATAGTTTTCAAATAAATTAAATGACATTTCGTCTCTATTTCTGTTTGTATATATACTAGATGGATAAATATGAAGTTTACTAATATGAATTTTACTAATAGAATTAAATACAAAAAAGAGCAAATACAATTTTACAAAAATACGGAATCGCGATAAAGCTAGCAAAGAGCGCGTCTGTCTCAAAAGCGAGAAGCAAGCAGAGTGCCGCGAGGAGCCTGGCGCACAGGGCTGGATATCCAAGCGGTGAGGCGCATGATGTGACGTCACTGGTCATACGATGTGCAGGCGCCAACGTCATAGATCGTACGATGTTGGTGTGGCCTCGCTTGCATGAGCGGTAGCGTTTTGGTTGCAATGTGCCTGTTTCGCGCACTTTTCGGTAACCGATTTCAATAAAACTTGTGAAGTAGATGTAATTTCGCGAACTTTTGAGGTACTGAGATTATTTTTTATACAATTGTTTGTGGTTCGATAAATAATTTGGAGCTAAGTAATTTTAGACTATGTCATTTGTCTATCCCATTTAAAATTTTGTATACAAAAAAAACATGAAATCTTTTTGAAAGCATTGAAATCTTTTTATTTATTATAAATTATTATCCATATTTTCCAGGTTCCTATATCCAGTCTACAGCATGATTGTCCTGGGGGGCGCCATAGGACTTGATTGCATGCAGAAGATGATGTTCTGGCTAGGCACGGAGGTCTTCCGATGGCAAAAGGACAGGAGGCACTATTTGGCATCGGAATATGCTGGCCAGGTTATGATTTTGGCTGCTTGTGGCATTGGTATTATAGGTTAGTATATTCAGTTAGAATTATAAACACACTACACACTTTAGTATTAAATATCTTCGTCCTCTAAGGGAGCGAGATATCCTCCAGCTGCTTAGGTAATTGGATTAACGTTTTTCGGAGTGGGAAAGTGAGTGTGCCTTACAGCTCCGCCACCAATGAGGAGATTTGGTAGTGGACTTTAGAGTCAACGGCTTAGCGGTGGCAACCGCTAGTTGTGCAATGCGCAACGGGAAATGAGCGTGCCTACAGCTCCGGCACCTATCTGGAAAATACGGAGGGTACTGTTTGTGCATCCGTGGTGGTCCACCCGAGGCACTAGCGTCTTGAGAACCGGACGAAGTTAAGATTTAGATTTATTTATTATTTACTATTTATTTTATTATTTAGATTTATTTATTATATTTAAGTGAAAGAGGTCTGTGACAAGCCTGTACCACACCCCGGACACTTCATACAAGCGTCGAAATTTATTTACCTAATACTACTACATACAGGCAAGGTGCTATCATAATTGTTGAGGAAATTATTTTGTATACTGGTATGGTCAAAACGCATTGCGCAAGGCATCGCGTGGCATTTTGGAGAAGAAATAAAGTAGTTAATCTGTTATTAGCTCGACAAATCGTTTGATTCGGTACATTTGACATTACGTGAATTAAATGTGGACCATATCCATACTGGAGCGGTTGGGAGGTTTTGCAACCTAATAAATTTGATGGTGGTGCGGACTGTAAGGCGCGGTTCTAGAAGAAGGTAAGGAAAGTCGGATTTACGGTTTTAGCGTCGAGAAAAATAAAAAATAGAAAGAAATATTATGAAGAAACACTGTGCCGTACCTTGAACTCCTCGTTAGGGCCGTATACGCTGGAGGTGTTCGTCGCCAGGGGAATATCCACACGCAAACAAATCACTTAAAATAATGCGGTCGTTTCTACGTGGAACAGCGTAGCGTCTCGATCTTCTTTTATTTCTTTTTCTCGAAGTGGTCGCGGCGAGGTTCTCTTGCCGTAACGCGAGCCAGCAAATACGAAGCCAGCGCACTCTAGTGGCGACTTCTTATCTTCTTTCCCTTCACTCAAAGGCATTTTGGCACAGTGAAAAAAGGGAGACAGAAAGATTCGATGCTATGCCTTACTAATGAAATTAAAGTATCACCAAAGAAGCGGATATTGGTTTGAATGTGAAAATAAACATAGCCAATAAAAATTATATGGGAAATTTAAAAATAAAAATAATGTGTGGCGTTACCACATAAGTAGGTAATGAAATTCCTTTTTTGGCGGCTAGATGTCGCTCAACGTTAAGAAACTGGTAGTTGTTACATACTAATTATTATTAGTCATTAGAGTTTCTTTTAAATATGATTTTATTCCCAGACTTAGATAAGTTGCTATTATAATTTGAAAAACCTAATGAATTTATTTTATTCAAACTTGTAATTAAGACATTTGAAGACGCTAAGGAATTCTTCTAACTATTATTTTGCCATTGTTCTTTAGAATTTAAATATAATACAAACTTAAATACACTATAAAATATATATACAAAAGAGATTTGTATAGTCTGTTCTAATCCATTTTCAACAAATAGTAAACGAAACTGTTTGGTTAAAATTGTAAATCAATCACTCAATAAATCAAATAAGTAACACTTTCACGTATATTTCGAAGTTTTCGACTTGATATCTCGTCACTTTTTCCAACAATACTTATTTCAATAGCATCGTAAAATTGTATTTGGAAAATGGTAGTCCAAAAGTGAGGTTATTTTCCATCTATACATTTATGACTTATCTATAGTTGCATAGTGCTGTACGAAAAAAAAACATTCAGTTCATTCAATTAAAGTTTTTGTAATCGATTAATAAATCGAATATTTCAATCGCAATTGAACGAGTATCTAAGTTTAAGAATTTGAAGGACGACTTAAAATTAAGATTTCGGAAATTTTAAATATCCTTAATAGGTTATGTAGGGAAAACCGCTAGTATGACTCAATTGAATAAATCGACTCATTGAATGGCATTGCATTTGGCCATCACTAAAGCATCTTATGGTCGGGTCAGTGACTTGTTTGTTTACATTTTGTTGAATATGGATTATACACCAGGATTCAGAAAGGGTGGTAAAAAGGCGGGATGACGATGAAAGAAGTCTCATCGTCACATACTTATAATTCCAAATTTTACAGGAATATCTCGAACGGTAGCCCTCTACAACAACTACCATGGTCCAATGACGATTCTCAACCATCTGCCACCAACGAGTGAACCACTCAACATCTGCTACGGCAAAGACTGGTATAGATATCCTTCAAGCTTCCACATACCACGAGGCAGTAATATTCGGTTCATAAGAAGCGATTTTAAGGGACAACTGCCGGCGCCGTATTCCAGTGAAAAAAATGGTATGTATAACGACAACACTCGCGTGTTTTGTCAATATACAATGACTTTGTGACAATCAGAGATGGGCAAACGCCCAGGTTTTAACCTCTATTAACGCCGGATTTAAACGGTTAAAACCACGGGAGAAAAACAAACAATGTAAGTGCCGTAAGCTTCGATTACTATCGGAACTGATGTCGCTAAAACTTTTCTTAATTTGAAACACTACAAAATCTTGATAATGATTGGTCGTAATTTCAAATTTAAAAAGAAATAACAAATTCTGGATTTTTAATATAATTTCAACTTTACCCTTTTGGCATGTGTTGTTGTTGTTGTATGTTGAGTGTGTGCGTTAAAAAAAAAATATATCATTAAAAGTTCAGTGCCATCAACATCTACTATTGCAAGTTACGACGTTTCGATATTAAATTGAAATTTTAATCAATATCCTGCCATCTAGCGGTTAATTGCTAAATCACGACGAGTTGGAGTTATTAATTTAGTTCTCCAAAAAAAAAACGACCCTATTACAAGGGTGTAAGCTTTACTTTCGTTTCTTGTAACGAAAAAATGATTTCGATAAACAGGAAATTGAATTTTTTTAAAAAAAATGAGTTGCCGATGACATGAAATACCACATTGGGTACAATTTTTGGTGTGACTATCATTTTTGTACTCCAAAACAGAACAATAAGGCCTTTTTCTACGATTTTATAGAATTTTCGCGAAAGAATTGACTCAACATACTGTACAAAGCGACAATGGCGGACTGCGCTCACATAGGTCCTAACAGACCTATAGTTGGCAAGCGTTTGAGGCTAACTAACCACTTCTGCTGTATTTTCTGTTCTGTGATTAAAACCATGAATGTCCGAAATCGTGGACACAAACTTTTTTTGTTTACAACTAAATATTTGCTATGAATCGAGTTTTGTTCAAATTTAATAAGTTATAAATAAATAAATAATTATTATAAATAATTGTTTATTACTTTCTGATCTAGACGAGTCGGTTTGCCTTTCAATTGAATCGGTTCGCTTGAAAATCGCATTGAAATAAATCAATACAAAAAATCGTTACATCGAATCGATCTTTATAAAAACCGAAGCGTAATGTGCATCCTTAGTAGTTAGAATCCACAGAATTACAAGATGAGTATTGCGTGGAGTTGCCTCTGTTTCGTCTAAAACAATTGTTTACGATTTTTTTTATATAATTTGTAATGAGTATGGAATTATACCAATCGAATACGGATTCGACGGTGCGGCCCAAAATGTTGGGAGAAATGGGTTAAAATCCGGGCGTGTTGATTAGGGTTTTAAACCAACTGTCCATCTCTGATCACAATAAAGCAGCACGCTAATTTTTAACCATTTTTTATGTCAGTTTTGATAAGTTTAACATTGAAACCAAACTACCTTTTTATGTGGAGATTCCACCTCAAATCTCAACTATGTAGACAATTAATTATAATTTTGTTGTACTCTATACATACCGGGTTATTAGTAAACAAAAAGCCTCCCAGTACTATAGTACTAACATCATAAACAACATCTTTTGTTCCATGACTTCGTCAGATTTCACTTTGTGTGATAACAAAAGAAAGCGCTAGCGTAAAAACCAGTCCGATGCAAATGATGCTTGCACATTTGAACTATCTTACTGCCAAACAGAGATTTCAAAAGTTTAAGTATAAGATAAACTTAAAAGGTTATTACGATTATGAATGCAAAGGTCGAACACACAGAATGTTTTTTCTTCGTCTACCAGCAGCTTGATTTTGATTGCCTCTCCCGATCGGAAACTGCGTCTCTTCCGACTCGAGGCGCATAATTGCGGTTCACAACTTGCTGGATGTTTCAAGTAGGAACAACAGTTGATTTAACTTACAAATTAGAAAGATATAGCAGGAATCAGGTTCATCTTCTCGCTCGGAAACCCATCTAATTTCGAGACTCGGATGGGCTACCCGATCGGATAGATTCCCATTTGAATTAAAATCAGCCTGCCGGTGGGACTTGAACCCACGTCCATGCTGCATCGTAGCATTGCTCTAACCATCTGAGCCATGGGTCAAAATTATATTATATATATATAAGCTAAAATTATACTAGCAAAGTCCATGAACGGCTCTTCGTCGTTATTGGGGCAGCTTTCGCCATCCTTCTTTATTATCATTTCGCACTCCTATTACAATAGTGTTGTAACTTAAAGAAATTCAAGATTATATCGTTTCTGAACGTAAAATTTGTTTCTCTACATGTCAACAAAATTTTCATTAGAATATTATAAGAAACAATTAAAATATATCTACTTAACCCAGAATGAGACAAACGTTTTGTGAGCTAGTTCAGGACAAAACAGTCCTAACTCAAAAATATGAAATTATTTTTCACTCATTTTTAAATATACTTTTATTTAGCAAGTAGGAAATTGTTCAGATGTACACAAATGTATAGGTTACAATTTATTTTATTAATTAAAATAATCTTTCACGGGAACTGAGTAATTCGTTTTTCAGCTATATTGAATAAATTCACATTTTGAGTTAATACACTATTGTATTAGTAGTGCGATTTGTCAAAAGTCATGGAACAAAAGTTGTTTATGATGTTTGTGATATAGTCCTGCGAGATTGTTAGTATTTTACATATTACCTTTAATATTCTTCCCATCTTTCAGTCTTACTTGCAAACCTTTTTCGTTATTGCATAATGATCAGAATTATTATGTAAGATTTTCCTGTAATTGTTTTCAGCAACACGCCTAATCCATCCATATTTCAACGACCAAAACAAAATGGATCGTCGGACACTTTTACACCCGTCAGAGTGCCACTATCTCGTAGATTCCGACATCGGCGAGCCCACAATATTGCAACCCGCGTACCATAAAGACAACAACTGGGAAATCGTTGCTAGTGTTCCTTTCATAGATGCGAAAAAATCACATAGTATATTTAGAGCGTTTTATATTCCTATGGTATCAAGTAAACATTGTGTGTTCGCTAACTTGTATTTGTTAAAGAATAAGATTTTACTTGGCTAGAAAAGCAACATGTTCACTTTGCTGTTTCATGGTTGGTTCTTACGAGTTAACGATGCTTCTGTGAGATGTCACTCTTTAAGAGTATAACGATTTGGATGTGAAAATTCGCACGCCAAAATATTATCTCAAGTATAGCGACACAGTTGCCACAAAAGCTGGCGCTTTCTATCGTGGCAGCCATTTCTGATTGGACTAATCAAATTTGCCGGCAGAACGTTTCGTCATTTTTGTAATGTCTGATTGGACAATTCTAATTTGGCAGCTGGTCGTCCTAAAAAAATTGAAATACTCTAAATAGGTCCTTTTTTACTGATAACATAGACACAGATGCATTGAACGGTAATTTAGTTTGTGTTCTTCCGAATTTACGCTAATATGTCTGTTACTCAAAATCAAAGTACTTAATATTCTTGCACTTAAATGTTAGTCAAGTTATAAAGCGCCTAAAGCACATTAGCGCTATGTGGTGCGTCCTTTAGTGGACAAACTCCAAAGAAAGTTACCATCAGCTTTTTACGTACACAACAGCATGCTTAGATTTACACACACTTTTGGTAGTTTTTTTATTATTAGTGTCATAACGTTGTTTTTGAATCCGAGCTGTAAAACTACGTGCTGTTAAATGTATAAAATATATTAACTTAATCTACGAAGCTAGTCAGATTATGTAAACATAATTATAGAAAACCATAGACCAATAACCAAAGATCACTGCTAATCGCGACACAAGATGACGTAGTCGGGTATTTAGTACCTTTTGGTACACCAGACGTCGCGAGGAGTTCCAAATAGTACGAGTTCTAAATAATTTGCTTTACATTGACAAGTTATAATTTATCAAAGCTGCTTTAATTTCTAGTAATAACAAACAAAACAACTAAATGGCGCTTATTGCATTGATTTTGATGGATATTGCTAGCTATTCTTTTTTTTTATAATATCAACTGAAGGGACGAACAAGTCGTGCGCCTGATGGTAAGCAACACGCCTGTCCTTGCTTTGTGTTGGCTTTAAATGGCAAAAATCTGAGGGGCACCACCACTGCGCCCGTCACTCTGAGACATAAGTTGACAAGTCCCATGTGCCTGTAATTTCACCTGCACCCTTACCTTTCAAAACTGGAATACAGCAATGGTCACATCACTGCTTGGCTGAAATAGGTAAGGTGGCAGTACTACTCTGGACAAACTTTTTCACAACGAGCTCTACTAACTAAACTTCTAGTGATAACAAACAAGTCGGACTAAATGGCACTTACTGCATAGATTTTTATGGATAGTATATTATTTTGTTTAGGATTAACGCCATCTACCCATATTAACGTTAATTTATGAACTAGTTTTTAATACACAATGCCAACTATTGTAACGTATATTTGTCAAAGTTCAGAAAATAATTTTAAGGAAAAGAACTGAGTAGAGAAATTAATTGACAGCCACGGCCACTTACACAATAAAAGTACTTCAAGGCTATCGATCAGCGCCATCTAGATGTAAAACGGGTTTTTGATCGTTTTCAGACTTACTATCTGTAGAAATTAGCAGTCCTATTGAGTTTATTGGTCCGTGTAGAAAACAAAGGTCAACCTTGAAAAAAATGGTCTTTGTGTTTAGAAAAACTGCCGTACCTGAGAAGCATTAGACTGTAAGCGTTATTTTTGTAATTATACAGTGGACGCGATTTTGTATCGAAATGCAGCATGTACAACATTTAGAATGGCTTGAAATAAAACTAATTGAGTTTCAATAACATTTCGAGCTACCTTCTTCCCCCGTAAAATTACAAAAATAGCGCTTACAGTGTAATGCTTCTCAGTCACGGACTAATTACGGGATTGTAAAATAGTACGAAGATTTTTAATTGTATTCAGATTTTTAATTAGAAATATCAAAGTGACAGTTAATAATCACACTTCGAAACAATAATGTCGTCATGGTTTTACTTTTATTGAATATCGCGACGTTTTTATTAACATGATATTCGACTATTTTTTGTGAAAATACTCCACTGTAGTGCATTTGCTTAGATACTTAACTAAATGTAAACAATCTTGATACATCTTTTTATTGAAACATGTACTTTACAAATCAATATGTATAAAAATAGGCATTAAATTTCATATGAAGCTAAGTATTTGTATTTGAAGGTAAGTAAAAATAATTTTATAAATGTATATTCATCTCAAGATTGTTTACATTTAGTTAAGTATTTAAACAAATGGACTATAGTTTGTTATATAAAGAGGAATCAGGGACATGCGATTCTGCGTTAATAAGTGTGGTCCCTTAATCAATGTTTATTGAAAAAAATAATCGATAATAAACCGAATGCATTTTTTCAGATTTTGTGACAAAGCAGAAACAGCTGCAAAATGTATAGCGAATGTTAATTGAATAAAACTTTTAAAAGTAATGTTTACGAAATTTACAAGAACGCATAATTTAGGGCGTTCTGGTTTTGAAGTGTAAAGATTCTGCTGAAATCATAAGCACATAGGACTTGTCAACTTTGTTTCAGGGTGACGGGCGCAGTAACGTTTGTAAATGTTTGCAATTTAAAGCTCGATCCTAAACGACACTATTTATATTTCAGCAAAAGCTACCACCCCAATGAATGTTAGTTTATTATCTCTTATTGTATTGAAAATTCCACAAGTGTCGTACACAACATCAGAGTTAAACTGCCAATTTGATATGTAATGTATAAAAACCGTACCTAGTCAATAATCGAAGTATATTGTCACTTTTTTAATCCCCTATTTAAATTGGACCAATAAGTTGGAACAATACGTGTGCAATAATAGTTTTTTATAGTACCACGGAAAGTACATCAATTATACACTAGAATTAAGGTGCATAATTGCAATTGGGTTATATTTGACACGCTACATATCTGTAAAAGCGGTAATTTTATAAGTCATTATAATAAGATACCATGTGGTCTTTTTGAGAAGTGAGGTCACTCGAAAGTGATCATTTGAAGAATGTCATATTTGGGAATTTTATATAGAAATAATTTATTTAACTAACAGAACTCGTGTTGTTTTGTTAGCTAATACCAAAGCAACTATTATATAAACACTTATAAAGTGTTCTGTCGCTCGAATTTCAACTGCAAAATAGAAGTGCAGTCTGAACGTAGGTATAGTAAATACATTTTATTATGTTCCTAATGTGTTGTGATCTTTTTTGACGTCGGCTTGCTTATGTATGGTTGGCCGAATGTATGTTTGTTATTTTATTTAGCAAATTATGCCACTTGTTATTAACGACTTGGTCAGATTGGTCTATTTAAAAAGGCCTTATGAAAACTCAAATAATCTTTGTTTCATAGGTAAGTAAATTAAACTCGAAATCGTCTTATTGATTAAAATCTAAAGGTTAAACTTAAAGGTCATTTGGAAGTAATACCTTTATGGGATAAGTTTGCCTTTGTACACTAATATTGAAGTGTTTGTTAAAAATGTAATTTGTTTTTTGGTACAATAAAGTGTTTACATACATACATAGATATACAGGACGTCCTACTGCCACGCCACACGGAGGGAAAGTACCTTAAATACCGTAGATAGAAAGTTTTACTGAAAGAAGTTTTATTTTCATTTTAAAAACAATTCGAACTGCAATTTTACTATACTGATCGAAAGCCTCAATCATACGGATTGTTGTCTTCTAAATAACATTTTTTTTTACGATTAATTTTAAATTTTGTTCAGGAAAATGTGAAATCTGTGAAAGGTTTAGTCTATATACTATATTCTTTCAGTATAATTTTCTATCTACGGTATACGTATACTGAGTCGGATAGGGACTTTATTCTTCAGAAACGTGCACTAAGAACTTGTTAGGTATAAAAAACGATCAGATCTGCAGAAACATAAAAAAACACTATAAGATGACGACGTACGTCGTACAATACATCTATGATATAATAGTTTATGCGCGTCAAAACTGGAGCACTTAAGAGCGACGCACTGGCGGAGGTCGAGTGTTGCGAAACGCGGGAAAACTAAAATCCGTTGCACACCGTCCCGAACTCGCAAGGAGAAATTCGCGGTTTTATACACGACTAAATAAAACTCCTTTTATTGGATAATGAATTTTACAGTGTCGTGAGTTTCTTTTAAAACAATTGTATTTTTGTTTTACTTGACTTCGTTGTATATAGACAAGCAGTGGTTAAACTAGTTTATTTTATATTCGTGAATATTGCTCGCGCTAGCGACATTTTCCCTTGACATCCTATTTTTATAATTATTAATACAAAGATCAAACACTCCGAAACAAATCATTCGATTCGGCCGGATTCGAACCGACGTCTTCTAGCTTACCGTGCCATACGCTATACCAACTAAGCCACGGAACGAACCAACGGACCTCACGAATTTTTCTATGTGGTTGCGTCGTATCTTGAGTTTTTTCAACGATTTTTTAGTCGTAGCTCCATCTATGAGAAATCTAAGAAAGTTTTATCACCCAGTTAGATATCTTTACAGTTACCAAAGGGCTGGTATTTAATTGTAACATTGTGACATTGATAATATGAAGTAAATGATTCTATTCTATTCATACTGTACTACTCATTCGTAAGGCATATTGCTTTGAGAATAATGAGTTAGAGACTAGGGGTTGCTCTTTGTAAATAAACATTTGTATATATTTACAATATTTATTTCTAATATAAGATCCGGACTCACTAGGGTCACTCCTTTTTATCATCCCAATACCCAGACGCTTTAATGTAAAGTTTAGTTTTTTTTTTTCACTATACTTTTAAACCTCGTAAATGGGGGTGTCCGTCAGGATGGCTGCTGGCAAATCAAACTGTGCTCATTATTTACTACTATTTAGTACCTTTATTGATATATTTTATACCTTTGTGCTAACGGAAATATTAAAGAAATAAAGTGGCCAGCCATTTTGACGTCAGGTTGGCTGAATCACTTTGCGTTTTTCATGATTCTAGCAGTATACAATTTACTTTTTCTAATTACTACCTAATTTTCATCTAAACCTACTTTTTTTTCACTGTTTTAGGAAGCTTCAATAAAAAGTTAATAAAACGCCTTTGTAAAGGTGTCTTCTAAAAAGACAGTTTATCTTCTCCGTGTAATTGCTAACAATAC